CTGTACCACTAGTTGTTTCTGCATTGAAAGCCCGAAGACTCTTAAGGTCAAAGGAGTGTATATGGTTCTTAATGTCAGTCCTAGAGAAGGAAGATAAAGCACTAACAGTGGGAGATGTAAAGATAGTACGGGAATTCCCAGAAGTTTTTCCCGAGGAGTTGCCTGGGATGCCTCCTGAAAGGGAAGTAGAGTTCACTATTGATTTAACTCCTGGCTCCGCACCTATTTCCAAAGCTCCTTACAGGATGGCTCCAAAGGAGTTACAAGAGTTGAAATCACAAATTGAAGAATTGTTGGAAAGGGGATTTATCGAACCCAGTGTATCCCCATGGGGAGCACCGGTGTTATTCGTCAAGAAGAAGGACGGTTCGATGCGAATGTGCATTGACTACAGAGAATTGAATAAAATCACTATTAAGAATACGTATCCACTTCCCAGGATTGAGGACTTGTTTGACCAATTCCGTGGTGCAATGGTATTTTCAAAAGTCGATCTGAGGTCGGGATACCACCAGTTGAGAATTAAATCTACTGATATCTCAAAGACAGCCTTTAGAACTCGGTATGGTCACTACGAGTTCTTAGTGATGCCATTTGGTCTAACGAATGCTCCTGGAGTGTTCATGGACTTGATGAATCATGTCTTTCATGTATACCTAGACAAATTTGTCATTGTATTCATTGATGATATTTTGATCTATTCAAAGACTGAAGAGGAACATGAAGAATATTTGAAGATTGTATTGGAAACTCTAAAAAGGGAGAAACTTTACGCCAAATTCAAAAAGTGCGAATTTTGGCTAGATCGAGTTGCATTCCTTGGACATGTAGTTACAGCCCAAGGAATAGAAGTAGATTCAGGCAAAGTAGAAGCGGTGTCGAATTGGTCGAGACCAACCAACGTGGGAGAGGTTCGCAGCTTTTTGGGCCTAGCGGGATACTATAGAAGGTTCATAGAAGGATTCTCTAAGATATCGGGGTCTTTAACCCAGTTGACACGTAATGGTGCGAAATTTGAATGGACGGAGAAATGTGAACACAGTTTCAAGGAACTGAAGGAAAAATTAGTTAGTGCACCAGTGTTGACTGTACCTGGAGAATCGGAAGGTTTTGTAATATACACTGATGCATCCAAACATGGAATATGTTGTGTGTTGATGCAACAAGGCAAAGTAGTAGCCTATGCATCAAGACAATTGAAGCCTCATGAACAAAATTACCCCACACATGACCTAGAACTCGCAGCGGTAGTACACAGCTTGAAGATTTAGAGGCACTATCTATATGGAAGTAAATGCGACATTTATGCGGATCATAAAAGCCTCAAATACATTTTCACTCAAAAGGAGTTGAACATGAGACAAAGGAGGTGGCTTGAATTGGTAAAGGATTATGATTGTGAAATTCATTACCATCCAGGCAAGGCGAATGTAGTGGCAAACGCTTTGAGTACGAAACCAACGGGCAAGTTGGCAATGTTAACAGCACAAAAATCTCTATGGAGAGAATTTGAGAAATTAAAACTCGAAGTATTAGCAACACCGTCAGACACGGTCGCTCATATGGCAGCTCTTACGGTTCGGCCAACACTCCGAGATCGAATTAAGAACCATCTGAATGGCGATCAGTTATTCGAATTTATTAACTCCGAAATTGACACAGAAACACGAAAGGGTTTGACTATAACTGAAGATAAAACATTATATTATCAAGGACGTTTGTGTGTACTAGATTTTAAGGAATTGAAGAAAGAAATTTTGGAAGAAGCCCACACAACCCCTTACTCTGTACATCTAGGAAGTACAAAGATGTACCGTGATTTAAAAGCAGTATTTTGGTGGAGAAATATGAAGAGGGACATAGCTGAATTCGTTGAGAAATGCCTAATTTGTCAACAAGTGAAAGCTGAGCATCAACGACCATCAGGGTTGCTACAACCATTAGATATCCCAGAATGGAAATGGGAGCATGTAACGATGGATTTTGTCGTTGGTTTTCCAAAATCAGTAAGTGGTCATGAAGCTATTTGGGTAATCATCGATAGACTGACCAAGTCAACTCATTTCTTACCTATCCGAATGACATTTTTAATGGACCAGTTTGCGCAACTATATGTTAATGAAGTGGTGAGATTACATGGTGTTCCAATCTCTATTGTGTCTGATAGAGATCCCAGGTTTACATCAAACTTTTGGAAAAGCCTACATTGAGCAATGGGGACTAAGCTAAAATTTAGTACAGCTTTTCACCCTCAAACAGACGGACAATCCGAGCGAATAATTCAAACAATAGAGGATATGCTCCGAATGTGTGTCCTAGACTTTAGGAGAAGCATTTACCATTAGTCGAGTTCTCTTATAACAACAGTTACCATGCCTCTATCGACATGGCACCGTATGAAGCCCTGTTCGGAAGAAAGTGCAGATCGCCCATTCTTTGGGATGAAGTCGATGAACGTAAAATCTTAGGACCTGAAATCATGGAACGAACTGTTCATGCCATTGAAAGGATTCGAGCTAACATGAAGACCGCCCAAGACAGACAAAAATGCTATGCAGATAGAAGAAGAAATGAACTAGAATTTGTAGTTGGTGATAGGGAATTTTTTAAGGTCACACCAATGAAAGGTGTCTTAAGATTTGGAAAAATGGGGAAACTTCGACCAAGATATATTGGACCTTTTGAGATACTCAAAAGGGTTGGGAATGTAGCTTATCGATTGGCTTTGCCACCAGAGCTTTCTGCAGTACATAACGTCTTCCACGTACTGACACTTAAGAAGTACATCCCAGATCCGAGTCACGTATTGAAACATCAACCCTTGAAAGTTCAACTGGACTTGAGCTATGAGGAAACACCACTTTGCGTTATAGCTCGCAAGGTACAAAAGCTTCGCAACAAGGAGATACCCTTGGTTAAAGTGTTATGGCAACACCATTCAGTAGAAGAGACAACTTGGGAACGCGAGGAGGAGATGCGATCTAAGTACCCCCAACTATTCGATAATATCGACTAAGGTAATTTTCAAGGACGAAAATTTATTTTAAGAGGGGTAGATTGTAACACCTCGAAAATTAGTTATAGTCGTTAATATTGAGACTTAAGACCTTATGATAGGAAATTGAATATTTAAGGGCCAGCTGTTAGTTTATTTTTGTTTAGGGATCAAATTGGGAACTTTGCCTAATTAAGGACTTGATTAAAATAGTAGAATCATTCTCCTTTAGGTACGTGTATATATATATAGGATAGATTGACATGAATTATGGAAATGATATTTGGTAATAATAATGATGTGGTATATATATATAATATATGACAGATTGACATGAATCATGGGAGCGATGTATGGTAAATAGTAATGTTGGGAGTCAATTATGAAAGATTCCACTTTTCCTTTCTAATTGACAATACTATATTTGACTATACACACACACCCACGTCCCACACTTTTTTCACACACACACACACAAGAAACATTTTCCTTTTTGTACGTGCAAGATTGAAAGGCTGCTTTTGATCAATCAACTATCTCACACCCATTTTATCAAACTTTATTCAACTACGAGGTAAGTGATATTGCATGTGGTTTAGTGAATTCGTATTTTGTGCTTTAAATTCTGGAAATCCATTTATGGGTCATGTATGTTTATGATAAGAAAGCCGGAGTTTAGTAGCGCTACGCACTGGATTTACTACCACCTATGTTCGGAGTAGTCCATGTGTCTCCTATACGTATGTTATGAAAATCTCATGTTTTTCCCGTTATTTAAATGCAAAATACATGTTCACTGCACACACTTATTGAGATTTTCTTAAATCTCACCTCTTTAAATATTCCCCCTTTCAGGAAATTGAGATCGGGAGTTTGGAGCTGGTAATCGGACGGTGGTGGCATGTATTTTATTTAATAATCAGAAAATCCATTTTTATTTGTTTTGTTTACAAATATTGGTTATTATGGGATTGATTGTTCTTGCATTTTATTTTATTTAGACAATTACATTTTTTTTTAATAAATAAATGTTAATTTTATCTTTTGGCTCGAGATGCACTTATTCCTTTTGAATTAGTAAAGATTCGAGTTTTTTTTTTTCTTAGAAATCGGGTCCATAAAAATAATTATATATGTAAATAGAAAAATTTTCATATTTTAACCACTCATTACTCATTTTTTTTATAAAATTTATTCTCAAAAAATATAGATCACATATTTTTTTAGACGTCTTAATATTTTTTATGATGTACTGAAATGTTGAATATGTATTAGGAAACATGAAATCTAGACTCGCTTACCCCTCCCTCTTATTTTCCTACAAGTCAAGAGACTCTTGAGCTGCTATTTGAGAATTTAACCGATTCTCGAACTCCTCTCAAACGCAATATGGAGAATGGAGCTCTTTTAAAATTAGTTTTCAAAAATTAATTAAGGTAATTTCATTCAAAATCTCTTCTATAGAATGTAAAAGCAAAAATCATGTCAAACAACCCTTAAACAAGTCGTCGACAATCAAATGAAAATAATTTTACTTTAAATAACATCATACTATACATTCTCTCTAAATTAAAGCATTTTAGATGAATTTTTTAAAAGTTTTAACACGTTATATTTTGACCTTTACAAAAGAATAAAATGAAAGGAGGCATGAGTCTCTCATTTTTCTAACTAACAAAGATAGACGAGACAAATACTTTTTGACTGTAACATATATGAATCGACCTTCCTCCAAAAGTAGAGGAACACACATACTATGTAACAGTAACACAACATATATGTCCTCAAACTCGTAATCCTGAATCATGTAAGAAGTAAATGTTGGGAAATTGAGAATTCCCGTGTCAGCTTAACATAGACTTGAACTACTCCACCAAATAGATAATTAACCTTTCGGGAATGAACCCCAATTTGATAGACATATGGTCTTTCAATGACAATCTTAAGAAGCTAAAAGTCTTAAATTCCAAATATGCTGTCCACTAATAGTTACTTCTTTAAGCTATCAGGCTTTCTTCGCCTTGTGCTGCTTTGTTGGGTGCGGGAATAGAAAGCGGAAGGTCCAAGCAGCCAATATTGCTCCAGCGAAGGGACAGATCCAGTAAACATAGAATTGCTCCCATGTGTTGTGCTTATTATATACATATGCCCACCCGAATGCCTGCAATATATTAGACACGATTAGCATCCAATTTTAACACTAGCTTTGCGGAAAATAGCAAATAAAAATAATAACAGATTAAGAATGATGGAGTTATACAAGATGCTTGGATATTAGCACACTTGTTGCAAGAAACTAAACGAAAGCACAGCCAATCCTTGTCATAGTAGCTATGGAATTCCACAAAGAATCGAAACTCACTTGGCAAAATTATCTTCTAAAGATTTTGCGGATAGAGAAGTCAGATTAGAAGGGAAGAGAATCAAGAAACTAAATGCAAATATAAGACTTCAAAGAACAACTTTGACTTTCCATATTCAAGAAAACATACGAAGAAAGAAAAATTTGACTGCAGTTACAGATCAGAACTCTTAGGGTCCGTTTGATAGGCAATTGTGAAAAGGAATTCAAATTCCATGTTAGTTGGAAGATAAAAACCTGTCAAACCCATAGGAATTCATTTTCCACGAAAATAAAGAAAATGCAGCTTAAAGTGGTTATACCTTGGAATTCGGTTTCTATTTCCACGTTGCAATCAAACGGTCAAAGTGGAATTCGTTTTCCTCGGATGTGACATTTTCCATGGAATTCCATGCTATCAAACGGACCCTTATAATGTTCTAAGAGTGTACGTCAAATTTTATTATATTAAACAATTCTTTGCTCAGCAAAACTGCTAATATCTAAAGAACAGTTTGGTAAAATTTATTTACTTTTTTAAAATGTTAAAAGTTATACTTCAAAAGTTCTTGCACTTTTTTTCAAGTTCAAGATTTGAGCTTAGTGATTCGCATATGTAGCTAAATAGAAGTTTAGATCAGCTAATTAGTAAGCTTTAAAATTGAATAAATTCTAAATTAGTTATTTTAGCTTTGTAACAGACCGCGCCCCATTCATTCCACTTGCAACAAGGCAATTAATTCAGCACTTATACAAATTAATTTTTATTTCTCACAAAGTGGAATTGGGATTTGTTAAAAGAACCAGCCCGATTGATGGAATGTTATTGGATTCCATCTTCTTAAAGGCATACCATAGTAACAGATGAAGAAAGGGAACCAAATAGTTTCAAAGAAAAAAGATACAAACAAAAGCATCAAATACTTTTTGAAAGGAGCTACTTTAGAATAAAGGGAAAAATGGAAGAGGAGAAAAGTTAAAAACAGCAGAGGCATGTGGAAGAAGTTCTATCCAGATAGATATTTCCAAAAAGGAAAAGAACATCCGTGTCATGAATCTGTGAAGTGGTTTTTCTTCCTTCTTTAAAAGTAAAGCTAGACACTGAAACTGAGCAGCTCTCCAGACAGTATTGAATGGCATACACAACTACCTCCTCTTGACCAACGTAGGAGACCCCAAGAATCTCTTACTGATACAACAAACAGTACTTCCTACATGCATTATCAAGTTAACTTTTTGTGTATACAACTAGTTAAGTACTGCAATCATTCTTTACCTTTAATAGATTATGAATTTAATTCATTACCAATATACATTTACAGCAGGCAATTTGTTATATGAAATTTACAATGCCATCAACTTTAAACTGTACATGACTTGGGGTATGTACACTGGCTAAGAAGAAAGAAATCAAGAGTTCCTTGTAACTTTATTACTAGATCCCAGTTAGGTTGAGTTATGACAACTCATCATAAATTGTAGTACATCAACTTCTAAGGGATCAGGTGATTTATCTTGGTTGCCAGAATGAGATTTTGGGTTTGACATACAGTGTGATAAATGGGGTACGATACCTTGAACAAGACCCAGACAAAAAATTCATCTACAACTGCATCTGTTAGATTAGTTTTCTTCAAACTACTAAATCATGTATGTCTTTAATCTTAAAATGAAAAATAGATTCAAATTATAAGATTAATTACTTTGAAATATCAAAGGAGGAGATCTTACTGACAACCAATACCCTCAATAAGTTGAGTGAAACATCTTTATGGTTATGGAATTAAATATTGTCAATATGCACCAGATATCTCTTACAGCGTGTGTGGAAAGTGTTTATAAATTATTTGAACTATAAATAGATACAAATGAGTGGTGGATAAATCGGTCGTTTTGTAGGTTTCATGAAATGTGTGGAAAAAAATTATGAGCGTATAAACATGAGCCACACATAGCCTTACAACTGACATCATGCGTATAATCATTAAATATATGATTATCGTATTTTAGTTAACAGACATTAGGAATTGGATTTCAATTATGGATACATATTGATGGTCATATAGTTCTAATTAGTGAATCAAGGAGATTGGAATGTCAAAATGTAATCTAAAAGGTTGATAATCTTCCATTTCTCTAGGTCGAGGATATTTGTTCCATGGGGGGAATACGAGGTTATTGGTAGTTCATGGACAAGATACGATAATGTTACTTTACCCAATATTCGGGGAATCTCATTAGTACTGAGATACTTTTTGTTGTTCGTCCGAAGGTCCTTGGCCAAGCCATTGGTGGTAATTAATATTTTGATTTTTTTTTTAAGTAAACACATACATAAAGATAGAAGGTTTCCTAATTGGATTGAATACTAAGTCATTATAATTTATTAGCTTTAGATACCTATTTATGTTTTAATATAATAAAGTTTCGACACGTGGGATAAAATATAGGAACTCAAAAAATAATTAAATCTAAAAATTCATATTTTATTCCAAATGCAGGTCTAAAAATCAGACTTTTTGTTTGACTAATTTGACTAAGCACTGGATACCTTGGATTTAATTTAATCCTAAGCCATTAAGTTGCTTGTGACTATTTTCTAATCGTCATCCCTATTCAGCCCAGCACAGTGGTGAAGTGAGAAGTTCTCTTTTTGGTTCATCTCAAGTCTCAACATTTATTCTCACAATTCCTTCATTGCGTCGGACATATTTCAATTGTTCAGCAATTGTGTAGTAGATTATTAGAGAAATGGTCGTGCCATAATTAATCCATTAATGAACCTAATTTATGGCCGCAAAAATAGTTGAGAAAGACAGATAATTTTTTCAAGAAAATTCTGCAGCAGTTTACTTCCGGGCAGAATTTTAACACACTAATCCACCCCCCCCCCCACCCCAACCCAACAACCGCAAAAAACAAAAAGAAAAAAGAAAAAAAAATCTTCATTAGTTTAATAACGTGAAACTTGAAAAAGATACATCTTGAACTTGAGTTGGATACAGGTGCCCAAGGCCCAAGCACCAAAGTGAATAAATAGTAGCTTTGGTTGGAAAACGCCTAAGTATTTGAAGCTTGTGCTGAAAATTTTAAATTCATCATCATTCTTCTTCATATGAAATTTACCATTTCCTCTACTAATTAATTAAAGTGTGCATTCTATTGCATGCCCAGTGTGTGCTCTTCAATTCCAATGCAACTTTCTACAATCGGTTATATAACTGATGTACCAGCAAGCTTTTCATCTCTCCATGTTCGATTTCCCAAGACATGTCCTTATTCCTACAGCAGATGTTATTCAACAAATGCTCCCAAGTAATGGCTGAGTCTGGAAATACAAACCAATGCCACTACCAGACCATAATGGTCAAAAGTTAAAGCTATATTCTTTGATTCGGAAAGTTAATTGATCAAGCTGGTGTTTTCAGGTCTCAATAAGAAAATGATTGGTTCTTCCAGGGTTGGAGAAAATCCAATCATGTGTGTTGGGTATTTTAGTGATGCCTAAATAACCCTTAAGCAATGATAAAAAATCGTGGCCCATTTTTCTTCATAGGTTGTTGTTGCTAATTCATCCTACAATTGAACAAATTAACAAGGTGAGTTATGAATTAACTTAAACAATGAAAGGAAATCAAAAAATGAAGAAGAAACTAGATTTAAAATGAATCCCCCCTATTATTTAGGCTTGGAAAAAATCAATCCAACACCACAAAAGCAACACCAGAATTGGAGAACTTTGGAGGCTGAGAAAACGGCACAGGCAAATGGTAGAGAAACACGGAAGCAGGAATAAAGAGGCAGAACTTTTTTTTTGGTGTTCCAAAAATGAAGCCAAGAGACTCCAATTTATAGGCAAAGGGACAAACGAATTTCTAGATTTTTCTCGCCAAGATAGAATTCAAGAAAACTGAAATGATTACCAAGGATAAGGATAGTGTAACCATCTAACTTCCACCTGAGAAAAGGGATAAAAATTCATTTTCAAATTATCTCCAAAATTGGGTATTGAGCACTTAGCCCAATGGGCTGATTTCCTTTAAATACCCAACATGATTGGGCTACATCAATTGTGGTGTGGATTTATTAATATTTTTCAATTCCGGGCTTATAGCCTATGAAGACAAACAGGCCACGATTTTTCATCATTGCCTAGAGATTATTTGGCACCACTAAAATACCCAACAACCTCCACCTTGATGCCGAATCAACCTGCAAGTCAGATAAGATAACATATAGCTTAAGGAAGAGACTTACAAGTTTGTACCAATGTTTAGAAGATCAATACAGCTTTTAAACTTTACCAATGGGAACGCCTTAGTTCCCATGTCTGCAGGATTATATTCTGAAAGGACTTTCTCAAATTTTACCAGTTCTTGAGAAATCATATCTCTAATGAAATGCAATCTAACACGTATATGTTTAGCACGTTCATGAAAAATATGATTTTTACATTAGTGAATAGCAGGTTGACTATCAGAACATACTGTCACATTGTCATCAAAAACAACAAATTCATTTAATACACCTTTAAACTACAAAAATTCTTTAAAGGCTTCAGTAGCAGCAATATATTCAGATTTAGTAGTGGATAATGCAACAATATGTTAAAGTTGTGATTTTCAGCTAACACGTAAATTACACAAAGTCAACACGTAGGAAGACGTAGATTTCTTATTATCTCTATCATCAGCATAATTAGCATCAGTAAAGCCTTTCAATTTTACTCCTTCAGTACTAAACTTATATATTAAGCCAACATTGCATGTTCCTTTCAAATATCTAAACAACCATTTTAAAACTTCTCAATGTTTGGGACCAGGGTTGGACATATACTTCCTAAGTGTACTAACAGCAAAGACTAAGTCAGGTCTAGTACACACCATTAGATACATCACAGAACCAATGACATTTGAATATGGAATCTTTTTCATATATTTCACTTCCTCTTCATTAGCGGGTGATTGTTCTTTAGATAATACAAAATTATTGGCTAAAGGCAATATAACAGGTTTGCATTCATTCATGCTAATTTTTTTCAAAATTTTCATGATATATTGAGCTTGATGCAAAAACAAAAATGAATTAGACATATCTATTTGAATTTCCATGCCTAAGATTCTTTTAGCATTATCTAGTTCTTTCATATCAAATTCATTACTCAAAGTAGTTTTTATATCATTTAAAAACTTCAAGTTGGGACCAATCAAAAGCATATCATCCACGTATAGCAACAAAAACACAGTTATTATTTGCATTACCTTGATAGCATAAGCAATGATACTTCGAGTTGGGACCAATCAAAAGCATATAATTTGTTTTAAAAGTAGTGAATTTGATCATTGCTTATCATCTAAAGAACAATCACCTGCTAATGAAAAGGAAGATGAATATATGAAAAAGATTCTATATTCAAATGCCACTGGTTCTGTGATGTATCTAATGGTGTGTACTAGACCTAACTTAGCCTTTACTGTTAGTACACTTAAAAGGTATATATGTCCAACTCTGGTCCAAAACATTGGAAAGCTTTAAAACGGCTGTTTAGATTTTTGAAAAGAACATGCAATGTTGGGTTAATATATAAGTTTAGTACTGAATGAGTAACATTGAAAGACTTTACTTATGCTAATTATGCTGGTGATAGAGATAATAAAAAATCTACGTCTTCCTACGTGTTGACTTTGTGTAATTCATGTGTTAGTTGGACAACTTCAACATGTTGTTGCATTATCCACTACTGAATCTGAATATATTGCTGTTACTGAAGCCTTTAAAGAATCCTTATGGCTTAAAAGTGTATTAAATGAACTTGGTGTTTTTGATGACAATGTGACAATATATTCTGATAGTCAATCTGTTATTCACCTATACAAAAATCTCGTCTTTCATGAACATACTAATAATATAGATGTTAGATTGCATTTCATTAGAGATATAATTTCTCAAAAACTGGTAAAACTTGAGAAAGTTCTTTCAGAATATAATCCTGCAGACATAGGAACTAAGGTGCTCCCATTGGTAAAGTTTAGAAACTACCTTGATCTTCTAAACATCGGTACAAACTTGTAAGTCTCTTTCCTTAGGCTATTTGTTATCTTATCGGCTTGCAGGTTGATTTGACATCAAAGTGAAGGTTGTTGGATATTTAGTGATGCCCAAATAACCTCTAGGCAATGATAAAAAATCATGACCCGTTTTTCTTTGTAGGCTATAAGCCCAAGATTGAAGAATATTAATAAATTCACACCACAATTGATGTAGCCCAATCTTGTTGGGTATTTAGAGGAAATCAGCCAATTGGACTTGATGCTCAATACTCAATTTTGGAGATAATGTAAAAATAGACTTTTATCTATTTTCTCACATGGAAGTTAGATGGCTGCACCATCATTATTCTTGGTAACCATTTCAGTTTCTTGAACTCTATCTTGACGAGAAAAATATAGAAATTCGTTTGTCCCTTTGCCTATAAATTGGAGTCTCTTGGCTTCATTTAATATAACCAATCGGTCCCTGCTGTGTGCATTTTGAAACCCAGATTCTGCCTTCTTCTTCCAGCATCTGTGTGCCGTTTTCTCTGCCAGTTGCTTGCCCGTGCCTTTGTGTGCCTCAGTGACTTCAAAATCTCCAATTTGGTGTTGCCTTTGTGGTGTTGGATTGATTTTTCTAAGCCTAATTAAAAGAGGGAATTCATTGTTCTTCATTTTCTAAATCTAGTTTTCTTCTTCATTTTGATTTCCTTTATTATTTAAGTTAATTTCATAACTCACATTGTTGGTTTGTTCACTTGTAGGAGGAATTAGCATCAACAATGTGGAAAGTGATCAGAAGTTTACGATAGATGGAACTTCCAAACCAACTTTAAGGTCAATGTAAAGGAAAGGGTTACTGTTTGCTGTGGCTCCTAATAAGGGTAACAGCACTTGATCGATGATCAATCAATCACAGCATGGTGCATAAAGGGAATGAGAAACTTGGTAGTTGAGGATAATTCGACATCCCATAACAGGACAATAATGATGGGATGAGTGGACCTCTTAAATGGAAATATGGAGGACCTCTCAAATGGAAATATGAGGGCCAAATCACATTACCAATCTAAAAATACAAAAATTTAAGTCAAGTGAACAGTAATCTAAATTGTGCTTCAGATGTCAAAGCTCAATCACATTACATCTAAACATTTTGATTTTAAAAGAAACACGTTCAAGTACCATATTGAGAAAAGTAACTACTCTATTCTAGGTTGGAAATTGGGATATAAAGAAAAAAAGAAGAAAGGTTCAGCAGATAAGTTTTCCTTATGTGCTATGGGAAAGAGACTCTCACCTCATGTTATTTTGTTTCTTTAATTTTTCATCATCATATAATTTCAGAATCTAGAGATAGAATGGAAAAGAGATGCGTAACTTACATTGGCAGGATTCATCGAAGGTCCAGTATAACTTGAACCAGCAACGACTGCCGAAACAGTTGACATGGCAAGCAACCAATTCTTCACTAGTGGGTTGCTTGGACCCTTAAGGACAATGAGAAGGACGGCAGAAGTGATTATGAAAGTCAAAACTCCCTCAGCAATAGCTCCAGTGTGCAGGTCAACCTTCAATGAAGGACCTCCAAGCATGTGTTTGTACTGCATTGGCATAACCTCCATAATTGCAAGAGCACCACCTACTGCACCAGCTGCCTGTCAAGGATACAAGTAACAACTTTAGCATTTTCATTCCTCGTATGATATACACTTAGGGTCCGTTTGATTGCAATGGTGGAAAGAAAATGAATTTCAGGGAAAGTAATTGCCTAAAAAATATTTTGCAGGGAATTGTTAATTAAGTGTGTTTGATTGTTATAATTTTTTACCCAAAAAATTTTTAAATTTTGTGTTCTTTTGATTTTGTTTTATATGGAAATTCTCCATTAAAGTGATAATTATTTCCACAATTGGTTATAAAATTTGTTTCCATTGCCAAAAAGTAAAAAAAAAAAAATTCCTAAAAAATCATTTTTTATCAAAGTTTAGTATTCGTTTAACTTTTTTTTACATGAAAATTGTCCATTAAATTGAAAAAAAAAATTATATGAAATTTGTTTTCATTGTCAAAAAAAAAACTAAAACACAAAAAACTGACATCAGATGGAAAGCATTTTCCCTAAATTCTAGAAAAAGGGGCGCGTGGGAAGGGGGAGGGAAAAAATTTTCTTGGCCAAATTTGTGCAATCAAACACCACTTTTTGGCAAAGTTGGAAATTATTTTCCTTTTTCCTAGGAAAATATGGTCCATCAAACATGGCCTTAAATTTTGGTAAAATTTTCGTGTTAGTCACCAAACTTTATTATATGCAAACTCATTATTCATGTGTGCCTTTTGTTCTAAATTTGGTCGTTCAGTTAAAATCTGTTAGTTTTCACAACTAGATCATCTGGCAAGAGAGAGCCCCTTTTTTTTAATCTTAAATTCCGTTATATCTAGTCTAGCCCTGAGCGATCTTGATTTTCACAAACATATCATCAATTGACAATATTCACATTAATATCTACATTTGAATCAAGCAAGTAGGATTACATACTCTCAAGAAACATGATCAACATCTGACTATTCACATAATTCATACCTGGGCAGGAAAGCGGAGGGCAGCAGAGAACAGAGAATCGGCGCCACCAATACCAGCGGCATAGAAAGCAGCGATTGCAGTTGGATTGAAGGTGGCGCCGCCTAAGAAATCGCCAATGATGCCGAACACGAACAGCAGAAGAAAAACAAGGACAGTAGTAACGAGAAGAGTGGGTAGTCCTTGGGCTACTCCGAGAGCAGAAGCCACCACAAAAGTGAGTGCGCCCAACGTCGACGCGCAAAAAACCCACATAAAAGTCAACACCCCATCGGCTACCGCTGCCTTTATAGCACCCATTGAAGAATTGGGTCAGTGGAAAACAGCAGCGGATTCTTCAGTCAGGAGTCTACCCCTCTTCTCTCTCGGAGGAACAGAGAACAACGGCAGGAAAAAATTGGATGATTCACCTACTATATGTAACTCTGTTCACAAAATATATTAAGCACCGATTGAATGAATTCAAGCAGCGGAAGGTCTCTATTTGATTGGTAGTCAGTAGTCAGCATGGTTAATGAGTTACTGAACTTATAGAAAGTGTTCAATATAGTCACTATAATTTAATTTGTTCTAAATTAATCATCAAACTTTAAAATATGTTTTACATTAGTCACTAAATGTATGGATTCTACCGAATATATAGATAAGAAATGGGTAGTGATTTTATAATTCTACAATCGTTACTTGCATGGATTAAAAGCACATTTTACAAAGTTTAAATATAAGTTTGTGAATTCTACAGAATATATGGATAATAAATATAACGTAGTTGTGGGTATTGCAAAATACGCGGATAAAAAATTTAAACTTTGCCAAACGTGCACTTAATTTGTTCCATATTAGTTAGATGAATCATGCTACATGTACCGAGTTTTTTTATCGAATCTTTTATATACTACTCACAATGAAGATGTGAACAACATTGTTGGAATTTTTAAATACACGCTAGCCTTACGCATTATATGTGAGAGAGTAATCCATTATGTACAAACCATTATACAAGTGGATTAACCCTAATTGGATTATCATAAAATTTGTTTTGCATTGGTCACTTTATTAGCCTCCTTACATCTTAGAAATCGATTAGCATAGAGTTAAGAAGTTTCAAAGTAAATCCTATCTCTAATATGGAAAAATACATGGCATTTACATGTCAAAGTTGGTATTAATTTTGAATATGGACACTAATGCAGTGTCTGGTTTGAAATGAATTAAAGTTTAATGATCAACATGGAATGAATCTTAAAGTTCAGTGACTGGTTTGGAACAAATTAAAGTTTAATTATGAATGTGGAACAAATGTTAAAGTTCAATGATTGATTTAGAATAAATTAAATTAAAGTATAATGATCAATGTGAAACAAAATAAACTTAAATCACTACTTTGGAACAAATTAAAACTTGCCTATAAGTTGAGTGAATAATTGAACTTTTTACGCCAGTCAAAAGTAGTGGCCTAGTGGCATCCTCCAACTCATCACGGGCACAGCTTTCCAATTATATTAGGGAAAATTGCAGCTAGGGTCTCTAATCTTTTAAAAAGGTCTAATAAGTCCCTAACCTTCAAATTTTAACAGTTCTTCCGGTCTTCTGGGAAAAATATGCACTTTGACGGGCCTTCAGAGTTCAGCGAGTGAATTGAATTTGTTGACTTTTTAGAGGATAAAACTGTCTCTTCATTTTTTTCCATAATCCCTCCAACCAGAGAGGATCTTGTGCCCTTAGCGGACAAGGTAAAGTTTATCCATCGTTTTCACATCAACAAGTCAAGTCGTAATTTTTGACAAGTCAAAAAAACAAATTGATTCTCACAGATGAGACGTTGCCACGTCAACGGTGGACATTATAACTCCTATCGACGAGTGCAGGAGAGCATTTATATCTCTCCAACGTATCTTCACCTTACACTTTTACAAATCTTTCTCTCTCTTCATCTTCAGTCCAAATTGTTCACCTTTCTCGCAATGGTTAAAAAAAAAAAAAACAGTCTCGAACCCAACTGTGGTGTTTTTTTATTTTAGGCATTTGCTTTTACAATTATTTCACTAGTTCCGAGATCCATTACATCGTCCAAAGAAAAAAATGTGGGGTTTTGTCAATATTAATTTAGTTATGTTGTAGATACGGAAAGAATTTGACAAAAATTTTAACGAAGAACGCTTGAATTTTCATTGATTTCTGACGCAACAATGACAGAAAATGTACAGCACCTGTATAATTTCTGTGAATAATTCTCTGTACGTTATTCATCTTAATTTTCCGGGGAAGGGTAAATTTTGTACTATCAAATGCATTCTTGGCGGTAGTTTTTTGGCATGATGAACAATCTTCTATATCAACAGGGTAAGGTTGCTACCGTAGACTACATGGATACAAATTTCTTCAGCTGAGTTTAAATTTGATGCTATTGTTATAGTTAATTATTTGTTTGGATAAGAAAACAAGAGATCGTGTGAGGGTTTTTTTCTGTTAGCTATCTAATATTTGATGAAGGGTAATTATATTACACCACATTTTCTATTATCTAAGTCACATTTTAATTTCAATAAATGTCTCTAATGATTAATTATTTTTGTACTTCTATCTTTAAGTTTTTTTTTTCATCGCATATTTATTCTTAGCTTTCAAATAATTATCATATCTCGTCTCTGATGACGATTTATGTCTAAATATTTTGCTAACTTGCACTGAAATGAAGGACGTATATTTTTTTAAAATTTTATATTTGTTTTTTATTTCGATTACTTAAAAATACAAGATAATGACTTATTTTATGCCATCTGAAAGAAGAAAATTGAAGGAAAACCGTCATCGAAGATAATATGTACGACTTATTAAAAGGTTGATGACAAGAATTTGACAAAAAAATAAAAATTGAGGACATAATTGCAAAAATGGGCTAAAGTTAAGAACATTCATTATGATGAAAATGTGGCGTAGTGGAGGTGGTAGTAAAGTCTGAGTCTAGTGGCGGATGAAAGCACACGAGAACAATGGACGCGGTTGGATGTGAGATACAAGTGATTGAGTTTTCACGGCAAAAAACACAGTAACAATATCAACCACCTTAGTATCAGTACCTTAACATTTAGTATCAACATCTGGTATCAACACGTGCACATATTTTTCAAACAATCAATGACTATTCCTTATCCTTCATAGGTTAAAAGCAATGATAATTCACAATAATTAAACGTATGTCTCGAGTACTATTGGTGGGTGGAATATGTTTATGTGCTTTGAATGCAAACATGTTTCATCTATGTGTTGTTAGTGAGTGATGTATGTACTTGTACCTCGATACTTTACCACATGAAATCATAGTGAAAATACTTGACCTACATTTATAAGCTTGTTAAAGAGATTTATACACATCCCATGTCATGTGTGACCATCACACACCCTTTATTATTCTTGTTATGCACTGTATTTAGAGCAATTTTAATATCCCAAGATAGACGATAGAACAAATATTGTACTTGATTTCATCGTGTAGTCATGGTAGGGAACATCTGTTTGTGATCGTCATTTACTTATTATAGTCAGTCACCTATGTCCTTTTTGGACACATTGTATTTGAAGCAACCTATGATTCTAAGATGTGTGATAGAACGAATAGTGTACTTGATTTCGTCACGAGGCCTTGCTAAGGACCAATTCAGACTTAGGAACGAGTTTTATGTTATCACGAGACATTGGTTTTATCGTGATTATTTGTTGATCATTATTGATTATTGAGCCCTCAAGGTAAGGCACGGGAACCGTAAGGGACCATGCTTCATTTCTCATGCATTTCCTGAGTCTGTCTTGCGTTATTGAACTTTTATACTTGTCTTGCACAATTATACTTGTCTTGCATTCTTAAACGTGTATTCATGAACTTGTCTGAGCATAATTCAATATGCAATACATATATATACCATATTTGGTTTAGAGGAGACCTTTGTGTTCATGAACTATAATATCTCCAGTAGCCAAGATTGTCAAATAGTTGGCGCAAGTGCTTAGACAATAGAACAGACGATGCTGTGTCGATGACAACACATGAGTTAATGAACTCGTTGACATGTAAAAGTCACTATTTTTCGATCTGTCAAGTATTTTATTAGATCTTATGTTTTATTAGTTATGCTTTAACACAAAATACCTTGTTACGACTTGATTTTATTGTTTCAATCAGCACATGTGGATAACTTTAAACATTTTAAAGTTGTTGTGCCGAATTAACTTTACTTAGTTGAAACGTAAATATCTTGAAAGTTTGAGAGGTTATATATGAAGTGGTTTTGAAGTATTTCTTAAATTAAAATTTTTACGGTTTTTAGGTACAAAGCTTGTTGATTAATATTCGAAAATCAAGATATTGGACGTTATTTAGGTCATTTGTTAATAAAGTAGTGAAAAATAGTCATGAAATTTGAGGACGTGACATGTGGTTATATTTGTACCATAGTTTTTACTTGTTTCATTGTATTTTAATTGCACTTAAAAATCTCAATATTTGTACATTGCACTCGTGTCTCTAATTTTTTTTTTTTTTTTTTTGTTGAGTCAAACAAATCATTTTGCATCCTTGTAATGAACTTCTTTTTGGACGAAAATCAAAGAGAGGTGCTTATTAATGAAAGCTTGAGGATAAGAATGCAGCGTAAAAAACTTGAGGACGTGAATGCTATAATAATAATTAAAAAAATACTGAAAATATTAACTGCAATAGTAAATATAATTGTTCTCTAGTCACCCTAAAATAGTTCTCTTATTTATTCCGTGCTTGATTTGATTTAAATAAAAATAAAATTTTAGTAGATTTTGATAAAAAATGATAGGACGTATGATGAAAAGTTGTGAATTCTATAAAATGTGTGGTTAAAATTAATTATTGATTTTAATTTAAATTTTAATATCTTTTTAACTGAACTAAAAAGAGATTTACTAAAATAATCATAATTAAACTTCTTACAACTTGCAAATTAAAATCAAGCTTCTAAAAAGTGTGTGCGAATTCAAGCAGTCATATGTCAAGTTGATTGCTTATTGCGCGACTGGGCGTGCCTAGGTTTGCTTTGTTAATTTTTTCCTTTTTTTTATTTTAAATCTTTCATCTGACTTTAATTTCAAGTTTTTAAATGATTTATCATTTTTTTAAACTTCAAAGTATGTGTGAAGTTTTTATAAATTTATTAAGTAGAACTTTTCTATTTAAAAATTGAAACTATAAAAATTAGTCTAACTTTTGCATTTCAAAAACTTGAAATTTTATAATTGAATTATTGTAAAAATTATTAAGTAAATATAATATTTTATAATTTTATATATTTGGCATGTATTATTTTAATTATTAAATAATTTCTAGAATAAATTTAAAATAATATTAAAAATAAGAAAACACTTTTTTACTTCTAGGATATAGTATCAAATTTTCTTTATTTTTAATTTTTATGGTATTTGCCTACATAGGCTTGCCTAGTTGGAAACTTGACATCAGCGATTAGTTACGCTTTACCTTTTTTGGAATATTGATTAAAATATAGCTACACGTCCTCCATCCATCCCACTCTTTGTTACTTAGCTCGTATTTAGCCCCCATTAAATTATAATTCATTTTTTTTCTTCTTATCAATTATACATTCTTCAATAAAATAATAATATACGTAAATCCAAAAAGTTTCCTTCTTTTTTAACCATACTTTCTCCAAAAAAATTACTATTACAAAATCAAGTTCTCATTATAATGTGGGAATAATGAGAATCAAACACATGTTTAATACATGTCACAATAATGATATGATTCTAATTGACTTTTACTAGCATTTGTTTGTTAAAATTTATAAACTAATTATAAATAGTCACAAATTTTATGTTATGGGTCTTATGAAGTTACAAGTACTCTCCATTAGATTTATCTTTCTATGTTTATGTTTGATTTTGATTAAAATCTAGATTTCAATCTAAGTTAAGTCAACAATTCATTTCAACCATTTATGTTATGGGTCTTATCCCAAAAAATCTGAATTGTTCAAATTCAAACTCCTTTCAATTCAATCCCCATTCACCAATTGTTTCAATTCTTCATTCATTAAAGAAGAACCCCCAACCCAAAACACAAAAATCCGTATATTGTATACATACCCACAACAATTTAATTCAATTAAATTGTTAAGAGTTATTAATGTCAGGTAAGGGAAGCTTCGCTGTGTCGCGGAGCCATGGGGGAGATAGATTTTACAATTTGTCGGTGGTGCGGAGGCAACAACAAATGTTGTTACAACAACAACAGTTTATGCAGAAGCGGCAATTGACGCACCATCAACAGCAGCAGGAGTTGCAGACGACTGCGCTAAAGACAGAGTATTTGACCCATGCTAAGGCGGGGAACCGAAGTGAGCCTGATGTGTGGTGGGTGCTGTGTGGTGGTGTGGGTGTTACAGTGGTAACTGATGGTGTTTGTAGTGGGTGTTGTGTGTGGTGTGGTGGTGACAATGGTGTGTGCGGTGTGGTGGTGGGGGTTGTGAGAATCTGTAAATTTGTGGTGTATAGGTTGTGGTAGTGAGTTGGTGGCTTGGGGGAAGCAGATTGATTTATATTTGAAGTTGTAGTTGCCAATTGGTTTGGGAAATTTGAATAGTCTGTATAAAGGAGAAAATATATTGCAAAAAGTGAAATTATAATGTTTGAAGGAGATGTTTTTGACTTTTTCAATTGGCTACCTGTGTTCTTCTTCTTGTTCCCTTTTCCTTTTTTTTTTTTTACAGTTTAGTAATTGTTTCCTCGTCTATTAATTAGCCTTTATGAACTAAAAACTAAGTGCTTGAATCTCACAAACAGCTATTCTGTATTTATTGTGATCAATTTTGTGTTAATTGTGATCGATTGTGACTAATTGTGATCAATTTTGTTTAATTGTGACTTGATATTCATTTGGTCACAGATAGTCACACTCAATACAAATTTGGTCACGGTTAATCACACCTAATACAAATTTGGTTACAATTAATCACAATTGGTCACATTGAATACAATTTTGGTCACAATTAGTCATATTGAATACAAACACAGTTGAAAATTTTTTGAAATGGGAGTGGGGGCGGGTGTAATCTTCAATTTTTAATTTTTTAAAAAATTTTGGAAGATGAAGGTAGGGTGAGGTGTTGGGGTATGTGGATCCGAGGGTAAGGGTATGATTTCCCCTTTTTAATTTTCTGAAAATTTTTTAGAAAGTGAAGTGGGGTGGAGTGGGGTGGGGTGGGGGTTGGATTTTCTATTTTTAATTTCTGGACATTTTTTTTTTGTGGGTGGATCATGTGGGGGTGGGGACAATTAATTTTAATTAATTATATATTATTCATGCAAAAACATGAAATATTCTATGATTAGTTTAAAGTCCAGCCGTCATTTTTGACCTTGCCTCACATGTGGGGCCCAGTTTTCTCATTTTAATGATGTGGAAAATGTGCACTAAATAAAGTAATAAATTATTAATTAAAATTAACACCTGATTTTTGAAATAATTTGACAAGTTTGATAATTTTGAAATATAGGAACCATATATTGTTCCCTAAAATTAATATATTCTACTAAATAATCAAATTAATTGAAAGAAAAAGTCATAAAACTATTTCTAAAATTTTCTAATTTTTTGAGAAACGATTTTTTCGGAATAACAAATCAAACACATTTTCTGCAATCTTAAAATAATTCCTGAAAAAAGAAAATACAAAATAAATTCAAAACTGAAAGCAGAAAACGAAAATGCAATCCAAACGAACCCTAATTTTTTTATGGGTCCTACGCAGTGAGACAATGGTAAAAAAATGGTAAGCTGCTAATAGTCGGAATTGATTTAATGCCAAATAAACAGGGGCTAAACATGCTTTTCAAAAAAAAAAAAAAAAAAGAATTCAAAACTGAAAAAAGAAAACTTTTTCACTTTGGGCCTCATAGTAAGGTCATTTTGAAAAACAGGTAGCCCATTTGGAAAAACACATCGGACATAGAACATATAAATTGGCGAGATTTCTGTTTGTTTTATTTAGATTTATTTTCATTTATTGACAAAAAGCTATGTTCCGGGAGAGAGCTAAAAGAGTCTTACTGTCTTCGGCTAAAGAGGTATCGTTCTAACTATGATTCCTTTTTTTCCATAATTACATTTATACTTTTGTTGCCAATTACCTGGTTATTAATTTTTTTGTTTTGTTTTTGATCAAACTCCTTGATTCATTTTGCTGTTTCTGTTAATCAATTTGAATTTGGAAATGTGAGATTGAATTCCCTTTTTTCTGGGATTCCTTCAACTGTTAATTGCAGAACATTGAGAAGATCAAGAAAGCCGTAGATGAAGGCAATCACTATGGGGCTCAACAGATGTACAAGTCTTTTAGTGCGAGGTACATACAATAAATATAATCTTTCTTGTACATATTTAATTCTGTCAATTTTGGTTTCTTTCTATTTTTAGGTAATTCTTTCTTTATCGAGGACAGATATATTGCGGCCGAGAGGTATTTGGACGCCTTGAATATTCTGCAATCCGGTGCTTGCGTGCAATTAGAAAATGGGCAGGTTATACTCTTGCCAAGCTAACCTTTTTATGCAAAACAATGACTATGCAGTCTAGGTTATAACTTACAATCGAAAACCAAATGACAATTCAATCATAATTGACAAAACTATGCATTGCGATATATCATCTGGCAAATGTTTGGCAGAGATTTAATTTTTAATTGTAACACTGAATTTAGTGCAGATATTGATACTGAATTTTAGCTATAGATACTTCTATCATGGAACTATGAGTGGCAGAGCCATTTTAATTTATTTATCTTGGCAAACTTTGAAGCTGCGTGACTTTAATTTGTGGAGAAAAAGGATTTTTCAGAGCTTTTGATTATCTTCGGTTCCTTCTTCAAAGCATTGACTTATAACATTTACACTCATTTTCAGGTTACATGTGGGGCTGAGCTTGCCATCTTGTTTGTAGAAGCACTTGTTAAAGGAAAATTTCCTTATGATGATGATACTGTTGGTCAGTTCTTTCATTTAATTCTTCTTCCTAATGTGTTTAGCTCTAGTCCTTTTATTCTTTTATATTTCTTTGAGCATGTTTGATTAATTAAGCTAGTCAAACATACTTTTTATCCACACATTTTTAGGATCCACAACTTACAATCATTTACTATTCACACATTTCGTAAGATCCACAGTTTATGTGCACTACCAAAAAAATGCTTTCTAACTAAGATATGTGATGCATATGTGCATGTTCATTTATTGGTGTGATGGTATATTTAACTTTCTTAGAACGATACTAGAAGTTGCGCATCATTGAAGATGATTGTAGAATCCACTCTGTGCTTCACATTTCATCGAAGTTGCTCTCAATCTCGCATTTTGGTCCAGTTCGGTAGAAAACTGTTTCATCGAGTTTTCCTCTCATGAGGGAAAAATTTGCCTTAAGAACACTCTCCTTGCTATTGAGGGCCAAGAATTAAACAAGTATTATTCCATCCTTTCGGAAAACTACTTTTATATTCTCTACAATTTCTAAAACCAAATTTCCTTTCTAAAAAAAATCTCCTTTAACCTTTATGTTATATTTGATTAGTGTTAGTTTGGAAGGAGACTTGAAAATTCTCTCAAGTTGGTTGAAAATAAAAGATATACTTGACATTGGCTCTTTTTTCTTTTGATAAATACAACAAGTTCTCCAAAAATTGTGGCCGGCTAGTACTCTGCTTAATTCAGATCTACATCTCCTAACAGATTCGGTGAAATTAATTTTTCTCTAACCACACCAAACTGTGTTAGTTTTGATACGGTCTCCCCCTCATATGAACCGTTTTATCTATTGTGATTAACAAAATCTTTAGATCTATGCAAGACGTATGGCAAATGTGCAATTCATCTTTTCTTACCTCTACTTTTATTAAACCAAAGAAAATGCAAACCATAGGTAACTCAGATGGCCAATTCAGTTAAGATCTCACTTTCCATAAACTTCTTTTCTACTAAATATCTTGCTGTTAATTGCAAATACCAAAGATATGAGAGATAAAAATCAGTCAAATAGAACATATTTTGCTAACATCAAGCAAATGTTGACTGTTATAGCTAATGCCTCGAACATCAAATCAAATGTGATGGAGATTTCATTGAACACTTGCCAAAACTTACAAACTAAGATTGTGTCAAAAATAGGAAATGGATTTTGATTTCTTTTCTTACCCTAATTATTGGTTTCAAGGAGGATATTACTCTTATGAAGTTGTACTGAAGTTACCATGAAGAGGAAATTGTCAATTTTGGACACTTTTGATCGGCCACATTGCTAAATGGTCTGAAATTATTTTTTTTGTCAAACTAGCCACTGTTTACATTGTTTTCCAGATTACAATTTTCATCTTTGAGTTAAGAAAAAATGAAAAAGGGATAATATAAATACTTGAAAGGAAAAAAAAAGAAAAAGAAAACCAGAGACCGCAGGTGCTGCGGCACACCCACATTCTTCACCTTCACCTGGTAATGAAATAAAAAAATTACAATTGAAATCTATAGCTTCGTGAACTTGAGAGAAGAAAAGCTTGCATATGTGTCTTGGCATGGTGGTGGTAGGAGATGCGACCTAAATTTCAGAATATGGATTTGCATTATGAGGGATTTGAAACTGAAACTTCCAATTCCATCTACGTCATTTTTAGTTATATAAACAAAATTCATCTCGTACGCAATGGTATACATATTACATTCATTAAATCTTGTGTCACTGCCGTAGTTTCTACAATGATCTCTTCACTTTGACCGGATGTATTTTGAAACTCGTACCTTTATTGTAAGTTGACTGGTCTTTGTAATTGATCTTTACCAGAAAGAAATGTGCACCTTCTTAGTTGCTCGTAGCCCAAAGTTCTTTCTAGCACTTTTATGTTCCCTAGTGCTTCAATAGCTTTCAGATTATTGCATTTAACTTTATAGCACAGGAGTTTGTTCTGAGCTTATACACTTGTCCTGGTGGGTTTTTTTGGAAGTTTTTGAAGCGGGGTACTATGTTAGTGTTTTTTGACTTGGCATTACTGCTTTTTTTACATGACTAGATATAGTTAGTAATAATAATTATCTCCCGAAGTTCTTAATGAATTGTTACAACTGTACTTGAAGATCAAGCAAGTGCATGCCTAAGTTATTTAGATGATTGGGTTTGGGATATTGTTTGACTTAATTTGAACTTAAGATCGATGCTAAATTTTATTATAATGGAACAGGCATTTGAAGCTAAAATGTACTATTGCGTATCAATTGGAATATTTATGAACCTTGACAATTCAGTTTATCGACTGCATTATCATGACTAACTTGTGCTTTGAAATGCACTATAGTTGAAAAGGAAAATAATGCAATACCAATATGATCAATATTAGATTATATGTTGAGACATATCCGTGTTTTTCTAGGACAATCTTCTATTTGCATTTCGCAAAAATCTTGGGGCTAAATCATGTTAAAAGTGAAGACAGGTCACAGGTGAATTGGTTATGAAGAAGAGAGTCCATTATGAGTCCAAGCCTAATACTAACTCTACTTTATTACTTCCATTGTATGGCTTCTTTGAGACCTGATCTGGTCTTTGATACAAATCTTATTATATAGGTTTCTTGACCTCTTTCTGTTTGTCTTTCTACGATAATTAGTGATTTTGTATTGATTTCTCAAAAAGTAATATCTCATGTAATTTTAGTTTGAGCAGATGTACATAAACCTTAATTACCTCCAGATGCCAATAGACACATTAAATTACAAACATTCATTTATTAATTCATAATACTAAGAAGTTCTAAATGCAGATCGTATCTCGAAAATCTACAAAAAATTCCCTCGCATACCAGTACCACAACATTTGGACCTGGCTGATGATGATGACATGCAACAACTCCAAGAAGCTCTTGGAGCTGCAAAAATGCGTGTAGAGGGTTGCTTATCTTTTTTGAAGGCTTCTATTAAGTGAGATATTCTTTTCCAATTTCTGTCCTATATTTCTCCCCTCGTTTTTCTATGCGTGTTTGCGTAAAATTTTCTCAAGTAAATAATGGACATGCTTGATTGTCAGCTACTTTACCTGTACTTTTAAAGTAGGTTAGGTTTTGTGATCACTGACGATTCGACATATTCAATGAGATAAATGAACAATCTTTTTTAGTTAGTAACTCAAAATGATAAACCCAAAAGATCATCCTCTAGATTCATAATATGTTAGGAAAAATGTAATATAGAGAATGGTTTAGATGAAAAACTAAAGTATCAATTAATTTTTCTTTCCTTCTGTTATTGAAATATGGCATTTAACAAATAAAACTACTTTTAAATATAATTTTTTTTTTCTCGTTCACGAGGATATTTAGCCTGTTCGGGAAATGGATAAATTTGATTTTATTTTCAATGGTACATGGATTTTGTTTATCAGGGTCATTTATTATATGCTATCTTATGAGAACAGATTTCATTTGGTCTTTGAATGTAAAGTCTTAGATTCCAAGATCAGGATTTGGTTAAAAATGTACCTTGTCGCATAAATTGTACATCTGTGCCATGGCTAGAAAACCCTGGAACACGATTATTGCATCAAACTAGCAAAAATGGAGGTTAAGATCGAGTGAGTAGGTCAAGGAAGTGACTGATTATGGTTAACTTCATGCGAAGTGAGGGAAAGAGAATTGAGGTTTATTGGTACAGTGTCGTAGAAATCAAGAGGGGTTGAAAAACTGAGTAGATCACTTATGAAGAGTCACAATTTTTAGTTTAAGTCCTTATTATGGTTGCATAACAGGGGTCGTACAATAAGAAAGCTTACAGATCTGGAAACTAGTGTTACATGTTTTGTGATTTTGATGCTTCTTGCATTATTTAGGCTAAATTGGACCATTAAATTAACCCGCGTTTTCCCCTCAGGTGGTCTATTGAATTTGGAGCACATAGGAATGGATCTCCCGAACTCCATGATATGCTTGCTGGTTATATATATTCAGAGTCTCCTGAGGTGGTATGTCCGTGAACAATTTTTGTACCTATTTGGAGATGAATCTACACTAGTGCTATTGGAGACTATGGGGCTCCTTGGTTCTTTAGTTTGTCTCTTCACCCTATAGTTTATCGTTATGTCCTCTCCCCTTCCATAATACGAAAAAGGAAAATAACATACACACAAACTAAAAAAAAAAAATTCAAAATTTCCAGTGTCGGTTCTTCAATATGCTGGGCTAAGTATATTTTTTCTTTCCTAACTACCCCTCTTTTTCTGAATTTCTGGCTTTGTCTAGCTTCTCTATTTTGAGCCTTTCTCTTTCTTGTTAGTTTAGCTTTATATGTGCTGTAAACTGTTATCTCCATTCTGTCCCCTTAATGGTGTCTCTTGTCAATCATAAGCTTGGTATGATTATTAAATTATTATTCTGAAAGTTTGCAGCAATCACATAAATACACTGTTGACTTGCTGTCTTTTTCACCTGTATAGTATTTATTATCTTGTTTAGGCCCATTTTTATGCAGACAATACCATATTGACTATCCATAGTGTTTGATAGAATACCTTTTTATCAATGTTGTAATTGGATCGTGTGAGGTTCTATGAAATTCCCTTATTGGATTGGTTTTGAATATGACGTGTTATTTTGAGTTTTGGAGTTTGTGGTTAATTAGCCATTGTTTGAGCTCCATTTTGTTGATAAAAATAGTTTTGTAACAGTGATTTTTTGTAGAATGTGTGGTTGAAAATAAGTTTTGGAAAAAATATATTTTCAAATAATGGGGCTCAAACATGGGCTTAGTCTCCTGCTAATTTATTGCAATTGAAACTGTTATAACTATATTCCACCTTCTCCGAGTCACGTCATTTGAAGTGTTTTTTTTTTTTTTTTGCGTAGTGATTGTTAACTTGTTTCTTAGATGTCGCCATTGGAATTTGGAAGTATTACTATATTTATAGAATGCAGTGCACAGCAATATAGTGGCTTAAAATTTTTTACAAATTACAAGTCAAGGAGCCTTGTTATTCAATTTAGTTTGATCCTCAAATTTAAGGTGACTGAAATTTTTGTACTGTTACAGGATATGACCAGAGTGTCATATCATTTTGTTCGAGGGAAGAATCCGAAGAAATTTGCTTCAACTCTAGTGAGTTTCATGGGCAAGGTTAGCCCTTCCACTTCTGATAACCCTAACCACTATGAGTTTTACTGAATTATTTACCTTTATCTGTGTTGGATTTAAATAATTTGTTTTCTAAATTTTGTCGTATTCTTTATTGAAATGTCTTTTCAATGCTTCTATTGGGATCTAATAAAGTAAAGCCATACATTGTTGCGAAATATAATTTTTAACTACACAAATACTGTTTAGAAATCACCCACCCTTGATTTGATCTAATATACAATTTTAAACTCAGTGTTACCCAGGTGAAGATGATTTGGCCATCGCACGGGCAGTTTTGATGTAAGTGTGGAATTTGAATACATGCAGCTACATTTGCAGTTGCTATTAGAGTTGTCCACTGTCCCAATATGTCTCTCTTGATACACCATTCTAAATCATGCATGTTTTGACCCATAGTCTAAATGGTCCTTGTCAGCTTTTTTTCAACTGCTTCCTAGTGTCAGAATTCACTATCTGGACTTGGAATTGATCTTTTCGGTTTGTAGTATTTATGATTTAAGATTTTGACCAAGGACATGTTTAGCATTTTGTCCATGTATGTAGGTACTTATCTCTAGGCAATCTAAGAGATGCTAATATCCTTATTGATGAAGTGAAGAAGCAAGTTCAATGTGAAGAAATTGATTTTCCTCGAACAGAACTGATGCAGCTGATTAATTATTTGCTACTGACGTAAGTTGCTTCTATTTTGTTTTGCATCTTTTTCTGATTACAGACCATTACTTTTTCATAAAGTAAAATGTTGTAGACAGTAAATAGAGTCTATAGCCATTGACTTGCGAGTTCTAATTTTGGATAAATTGCAAGTGTAGTGATGGGGCTGCTTTGAGAACTGTGTCGTGTATTCAACTTGTTTGTAGTGAGTACTATTAATTGGAAATTAACAAACTGAATTTAAGCTTCGCGGGTAATCAACTAAGTTTTGAAGGGATTACACAATGCTTTTCTTCCTCCCTCCCTCCTTCCCACCATTTTCATTTGTTCAGCATCTACCCTGACCTTCAATTTTCTTAGGTTCTGCTTTTACCTCTTTCTTAAAAGGAATAGGATTTCTGCAATTGTAGTTGTGTTGACTCCTTATTTTGGTGATAGGGGGTGGGTGGGGTGGTTTTCTGATATATCTTGGACACTGGGGATCTTAGTTTTTCTTGTAGCTTATTGGTTAACTTCACATTATCTTGATTTTCCAATAGCTAGACTCTTGGTTCTTGGAAGCTATATTTCTTGGAATTTGAAGATTGGTTCTTAAGCCAGTCGACCACCTTTCTGTTATGGGGGAGGGGAGAGGCCACATGTGCAGTCTAACTTATGGATGAGACCCAAGTATGAGCAATATGTGATCTCACAATCTCCTTGCATGAGGGACTACGCTAGTCATAGTTGTTATGGATTACTCTTCTCGACATATTATTAATTTTCAAGTTTCTTAAATCACATCATTGAAAGAACTTGGTAGCATGAATTATGAACCAGATCAGTTGCAAACCTAGACATTTCTCTTGCGTGTTGAAAATCCTAGGAGAAAAGTGAGGAATTGAATGAAGCTTGTAACTGGTAGTGTATTTTTTGCTAGGAATGGGCACATATAATGAAAAGGCAATGACAGGACACTCAAGCCTTCACAATGTCACTTCAGGACCTTATTAGTCTGTGAAACAGAACGTGAGAACAACCTAGGGTTGACACCAGTCCTAACCTAGTACCTACACTCATACTATACCATCCCAAGACCATCAATCATGTTCCATGTAACCTTCCATGTAATTCCTGCCACAAATAACTTGGAGTGTGAAATGGCGACCATTCTCTGTAATCAACTACAAACTATTAATACATTGTTTGCTTATTGTATATTGTTACTACAGGATGTTTTGCTGATATTGCACATTGCAAAGATTAAGATATTGTGGTAATTATTTCATGAAATAAATAAGCCTATGGGCTAAAATCTTGTCGATAAACAAGGTGTTTGTTTCCATTCGAAAATTATACCAGATCTATTCTAGAATATAATTGGTGAGAAGAAAAAACTGAATCCTTCTAAAACTCTTGCCGTATTTTATACAGGTTGCAGAGAGATGCTTTGCCTCTTTTTAATATATTGAGACAGAGATACAGGTCCAGTATAGACACAGAACCTGTATTTAATGAGGTACGCACTTTCACTTCCTAGACAAGACATTCCACTTTGTACATTTTTTACTGTACAGTTGAAAGTGGTCTTGTTCTGGTCCTTTTCTCTCATGCTTGAGAATAACTTGATCTTTGTAGGTAGGCCTCTTTCTTGATTGATAACTAAATATTCTGTTATTGACTGTCCTCGCGATTTAGTTTCTAGATGAAATTGCTGAAAAGTTTTATGGAGTCCAGCGTAGAAATCCCATGCAAGGAATGTTTGGTGACATTTTCAAGGTAATTTCTTCTAAGATTCTAAAAATGTGTCTTTCTGATCCCAGTAGTGAAGACAGATACATGAAGAGAAGACATTATGAATGTACATTGCTTATTTGCTCTATTTGCTCGTGCTACATCACGAAACGTTTCTGTTTTCAGTCATTTCCATTTTATCTGATCTATTAAGAGAAATTGCATTTGCCATTTGCAGATGATGGCAGGATAAAAAGTCTTATTTATAGTCAACCAGATTGTTGTGAGATTTCCTACATTGATCGAACCTCTTGCCTTTGTTAAAATTTTCAGTGTGGTTATTGAGCTCTGAACCAGGTAACGTTGTATCAATATTTGATTTTTTTCTTGACGTCATAAATTATTGTTTGCTGTCTTGGCAACATTTGTTTTAAAGGGCACATCACTTATTTCTTCCTAGAAACTCTTGAACAATAAGTGGGATTTTTCATTGTTTTGTAATCAAAGTGGTGTATTTTTTCACAGTATTTACGACTTCATACGATAAATCTTTTATGTGTACAAAGAATCTGTTTGCTTCTGCTTGTCGGGCAGCTTCTGTTCTACTTCGTTTCACACTGATGGAGGGAGTTCTATTCTCTACACAACCAAACAGTTCATTGTCATTCCGATTGTTTGCTGCTTCTTTATTAGTCTTTGCAATGAAAGATGTGTCCCAATATTCTTTCATGTCATCCCCAAATATTCGGCTACAATTGTCATGATGCAATCCAGATTCTAGGAAACAAAAATAATGTTGAGTACAACAAAACCAGCAGTGGAATTTTTCAATTACAATGTTGCATCTATGCCAGCCTTGTGATTCGACGAGGCACTGGAATATTTCATCCATTCGAGAATGTAGACACTGCAATCGGACTATTCTAATTGTCTTCTGTTTGGTTATTTCTTTAGCTTTTCCGGCATTAAAAAAAAAACCCAGCACCTCCGCTCTGTAGAAAAAAGTAACGAAAATGTCGAGTAAGCAAGTAGTTGATGTATGATTGGCAGATGCTCTCTTTCAATAATGCCTCCGTCCTACTTGGAAAACAAGATTAGCATCTAGTGATGCAATGGATGACAACTTTAAAATTTCATGAAAGTAAAATAAAACTGTTAATCGGCTAAAAATTATGTCTAAGAAGGAGAAAAATAGTATACCATTAAGGGCAAGATTAAGGGTGTGTTTGTCTCCCATTATTGGGATTTGGGAGAAAAACAGAGTAATGAATGGTATTTTTTGAAAAATGTGTGATTGAAATTTAAAGTAACTTTATTGGTTTGTGTGTAGAATATTTTATTTGGTGAATGTGTGGTGAAGAATTTTACTGCAACAAACAATTTTTTGGAATAATGATAGACAAACATGTGCTAAGTAGTTTTCCATTCTAAGCCCCAATGCCCAGATTCACCATTTTGGAGGAAGTACTCGTGTCGACAAAACAAGGACAAGGGTATAGGATCCATGTCGAATAAGAAGATCATTTACGATGTTTTTTTTATTTTTGATATTGGATTAAAAATGATTTCTAATATGGATCTCAAATGTATAGACTTGAAATAAAATCAGTTAAAAGTATTACAATTTGCAACAAAATTTGTTTTAAATTTACAATCAAACATTAATTAACATGTATAATTGCATTATGTAAGGTTTTTTTTTACTAGGATAAACTTCCTTCCCTTTCCCTTTTCCCTCCGGAAAGAGGAGTAGGCTTATCCTCCTTGTCTAAATTTATGGCCTTTTAAGTCCATTTTTTGAGTAGAGTCCATTTTGAAATAGTAGATTGAAGGACAATGTGTAATTAAAAATGAAGGAAACGTTTTTGGATTGTGAGCAATATTATTTTATTGAAAAACGTGTGATTGAAAAGAAGAGAGAAAAATGAATTTAAAAAAAAATGAAAATCAATCAAGGTATTAAATCATTGACAAAATTACCTTAGCAGAGAATAAAAATCCTAATACCTTCAAGCAAGAGTGAGGATTCTTTGTCTAGAAGGCCAATTGGATGTCCTCCATGACCCTCATGCTCCAAGATAGTTAATACCATATCTATTCATCAGCAGCAAGACACCTCTCCCTATTAGAGGAGCATAGTTCAGACACTCTGAAGTTCCTGTAATCCAAAACTCTGAACAGGCAACTATCATTTTTCAGAATTTTGACATGAAGTACAAGAAAATGTGTCGGATGGTTTAGTTCATTAGGGTGTTGGATCGCCTAATTCGATCAATATTTCATTCCATGCTCTCCATGTGGTGAGTTTCATCAGACGAACGTGACTTTAAATCCTTGACGTCTTTTATGACCATCCGGCCCCAATTTTTTTGTTAACATGTAGGCTGTTTGACAAAGCTTTTCGAGATTATAAGCTGGTGAATGAATCTCATGAGAAAACATGATTAAAAAGAGGAAAAAATTTGTCAGTCCAATGAAATGAAATATTAAAAATGAAGTTTGACTAACTTATAATCTCAAAAATATTCTTGTCAAAGAGAGGCGTAATTTTAGAATGAAAAAAAAAACAAAAAAACAAAAAAATCGTAGTAAGAATCTAACTGAGGTCTCCTATTTTTTGCCCTTGAAAATTTTACGAAACGGTAAATATAACCAACCACTATCGCACACGACTGCTTCTCTTTACAACACTCAAGTTAATCATATCAAACTGATTCTCGTTGTGAATATTAAAATGGAACAATTTCCAACTGAAAAAAGGGAACCGAATGGGATCAAAATCAATCGGTCAAATCCGATCCGATCCGATCCTGTTTTCCAATGAAGCCATAGGTTCTTGTACATTTTTTTTAATTTTTTAATTTTTTTAATGTTTGTGTGTATTCTAATCAACAAATCTCCCAATTATTTTGAACATTTGATAATTTAAGTAAATTAAGATTTTATTGAAATATTATAAAACGTATTTTTGGAATCAAGTCAAAATTTTATTTGTAGCTAGAACAAAACCAGATATTATTTTGGTAAGTTTACTGACAACTCGAAAAGCTTTTAAAATTTAACGGTGACTAGAATATATTTAAGAAAGTTCAGCGTCAGTTCAAAAAAAAAATAAAAAAAATGAACAAAAATCAATGGACAATCAGAAATAGTTGGAATAGTTTTGTGGCGACAGAGATATTTAACACTCGTTTACCATTTTGATGCAAAGAAATTACTATAATTCTCATTTTATCATTTTGTTCTGGCAGTATCACATGAAGAATACATGGAAGATGAGTCGCAGCATGGTGGGCGACTAAGGGACATGGCTTAAGGGAAAATTTCATAAGAGTTTAAGTTTCAACAATTTCAAATTTAAGAAATTAAGTTTAAAATTTCAAATCTCAGATTTTTTTTAAAATTTATTTTTAAATTAATTAATTAAACATATATTTTATTAATTAAATATATTAAGGTCACAATTCCATATAATTTGGTCACAAATTCTATATAATTAGTCACATATTATTAATTTGTCACAAATCACAAAACATATAATTGGTTACAAATCACAATTTTTATATATCACAAATTATTTTACGGTCACAATTCAAAAAATTTATAGTTCACAATTTGTTCATCGATCACAAATCAAAAATTTATACGTCACAATTTATTCATCATTCACAAATCTATCAATTTAATTAGTCACATATTATATTTCGGTCACAAATAGAAATTTTATATGTTACAAATTATTTTACGATCACACTTCAGAAATTTTATAGGTCACAATTTGTTCATCGATCACAAATAAAAAATTAATATGTTACAATTTATTTATCGATCACAAATCACAAAAATTATAAGTCACAACTTAATAGACAGTCACAAATTGTTAAATTATCGGTCACAAATTAAAAAAAATTTAGGTCACACATTATTTCTTGGTCACAATTTATTTTTTTCATTGGTCATGTATTGTTTATTGGTCACAGATTAACCAATTTAATGGTCACATCGACCAAATAATTTATGACTACAACCAACACTTGTGACCATCATCGCACCACTCCCTCCAGCGGCACCACCACCACCTCCGATAGCAATACAACCACCTCAAGCTAATCAACACATCGCAGAAAAATACCACCACATTGTCAAGCCATTCCACCACCATCGCGACAAACCCATCATCGTGCCGCCACCATCAACACCGCCCACATCACCGTTGCCAACACGACCATCACTTCCTCAAATCCATTACCGTCAACGCCACCACCATCTACACTCTACCACCATCGACCACAACGTGCTGCACCCAACATCTACACCACCACCCCCATCCTACAACTCAAAAAAAAATCCCCAACCACCATTAAAACCACAGATTCACCACCACACCAACATCCAGGAAAAAAACCCTCCAGATCGGCAACCACCACACACCTCATCATAAAAAGGGATGAATTTCCACCGCACAGATCGTGACGCTGGCCTTACAAGGGGAAGAAGAGAGAGAGAGAGGAAGAAGAGATGGCGACAGATGAGAGAGACGACCACGAGGAAAGAGAAGGAGATGATAGAGAAAGAATGGAGACGTGATAATTGATTTGAGAATTTTTAGGATTTGTGTAATTATAATTTAGATAGAGATGAATTAATATCAGATTTTTATATAAATAAAATTTTTATTTGAAATTGGAACTTTAAAATTCTGATTTTGTGTAATTTCCTTCTTTTAAAAAGTCAAAAGGAGTTTTTGAGGCCAAAAGCAGTTTTTGGACTTGTTTGACTAATTTTATGAAAGTATTTTTGCCGATTAAGAAGTTTTTAATGGAAGTTACTCAAATGTAACATTTTCTAAAAGCACTTTTAGAATAAAAACTGTTTTTAAAAATTAATTTTTTTTAAAAAAATAAGATAACTTCCTCCAAAAATTCTTTCACATAAAGCGAAAACCACGCCAAACCGGCCCTAAGCAACTTCGAGCAGCTTTGGCCAACAAGGTGGAAGATTAGTGCTATTTATGTCAATTTGTGCCGTTCAATTGATATTGTTTTGAGTTTTCTCATTTATTATGGGTCTGTTTGGTACAAATTTTCATTTTCTATAGTAAATCAATTCTCATTTTTAACGGTACATTTTTCAATAAAATAATATTTTCCATCATATCAATACTTTTTTCTTCTTTTTTAACCACATATATCCCATCATATCACTATTCAAAAATCAATTATTCACTCCAAAATCTTTGCCAAAAGCACTCTATGTATGGATATATTTTTTAAACACATTATTTATTATTATAAATACTTCTCTCCCACCGTCCCGGCAACACTCAGAGCCGCCGCCAAAATTTCCACCGTAGACACGAGATTTCCATTTCTACTATTGAACATTTTCCTCTTTTAAGGTTACGTATCTTTCCATAAATAGTTTTATTCTTTACAGTTAGTGCTAATCTTGTGCAAGTTTCCGAAATTTTCAAAATTTAATTCATACCTAATTTTATGTTTTTCGTAATTTATTTCGTTAATGAATTAATTTAATTCATGCGTTTACGAATCATATAATTTTGGCTTGTACAGCCTGTCGAAATGGCGACCGAAGGATTGACTGAGAAAATCCGTCTTGAGGACGGAAAGTCCGAGCACGCGAATGGTAGTAACGAAGCAAACGGGAAAGCTGTACAAGAAGAGGTTGAGGATAAAATTGATGACCTTACAGTGGATGACCAACAAGGTAATTTTTTGGATGTAGAATACTGTTTTTTGAGTTTGTTAAAGGGGAAAATGGGATCAAGCTCGTACTCTTTTTTGTGCATGGTGAAGTTGATATGCAATTTAGTTAAGAAAAAGAAGAGTTTTTATGTGTGTGGGAAAGTTAACTGATTTTAGTAGGACTTGGAAAGGACAATGATTAATTAAGAAGGCCCAAACTAAGAAAAACTATATGATCATCTGAGACCCAGTACTGATAAAGTAATTGTCAGTCTTAAATTTATTCAAATTTGCAATGAAATACCCGAACTTGATTATTTGTTAAAGATTCTAATTGATGCAACTGCATTCTGCTCTATTTAGGAGCTATATGGTTTGAAAAAATGAACATAAGCAATGCATGTAATTTCTCTATCATTTTCTGCCGAAATTTCATTTTCATTGTTTATAGTTAAATTTTTATCCTAAAATGTTAGTCCTGGTATTAATAAATTAAATTAGCTAAAGAATTAATATTTTACATGTTGAATTTCTTGATTTGATGTTTCACATGCAGTATGAAGGTTGAAGGATTGAGTTTGAGTACTGTGAAATGGCTCATGCTTCTAACATAAAACTCAGCCTTTTATCTTAGGCTTTCTGCTGTTAATATTTGAACTGAAAGTTTGGAAAGGGAAAAAAAAAAAAAACCTTCTTTTCTAAGGACCAGGAATATCCTTCTGAGGCCATACTTAGAGAGGGACCGAATATGCAATACATATCAAAAAGTATCACATCTGGTTTTGGCTTGTCATTGGACTACTACTTCTCTGTTCTGTAAAACCCTTCTTTCTCCAGATATGTAGTCAACGATAGTTTCCCTGTGCAGAGGGATTGGTATTCAAGCTTTGTTAGGTGGGTTCATGTTTTATTTGTGAGATGGTGGTCATGGTTGTAGAAGAGATCATATGACTTGTCAGTTACTATAATAATGATTTAGAGAAGATTGTTTTGGGAACTCAAATGTGTCTCTTTCAGAAAGAGTGTAAATGGTAGTGAACGTAAAAGTGCAGGCACAGGAAAACTCTCTGCTGCTCCATGTTAACTTTCCCCTTCGTGGGATATAGTGTAATCTTACCCTTGTTGTTCTCTCGTATTTTTCCTAATTTGCAAGAGTGACTCTTCTGATGGCTTATCTTAGATGGAAGAGGGAGTAGTAATCTCAATAATAGTCAGTTCTATCTTGGTGAAACATTCTTCTGAATTCCTTTTTTCTGGTGCTTCTTTCTTCTCCTTTTGCCTGTAGTATTGGGATTATATATAATCTCATTCTGTTGTGTTGGATCTCGTTTGACAAATGCCAAGAGAAAGACAGCATTGATCGTGGTGCAGATAGCCTGACACTGGACCATCCACAATTAGGCAGTTGCCTGTAAAACTGTAGATTTTAAGGGTCATGTTTTGCATTCACGTTCATTTTATGTGATGTAATTTAATTTGTGCTATTGTGATATGCTGTTCAAGAACATTGATGGTGTTTATATTGTTTTATTTTCAGTTTTTCTTAATGCTTTCAGATGTTCAAGGATTACTATGAATTCCAATCATTTATTATTAAAATTATTTTCTTGGTCTTGACATCATTTTGTTAAGGTTTTGCTTTTTCTTTCTTTTTTGTTTTTTGTCTGACTCGTTAATTGCATGCATCTGGAATGTTCAGAAGCTACAAAAAAGAAGAAGAAGAAAAATAAAAGCAAGTGAGACATACTCTTTAACATACTTGTCTTTCCCTTTTCCTTATTTGAGACTTGAATTTAACTTACATCTGTCTGTTCTAATCTGCAGGAAGAAAAAAGAACCACCTCAGCAAACTGATCCTCCATCTATTCCTGTGATTGAACTTTTTCCATCTGGCGAGTTTCCAGAGGGTGAAATTCAACAATATGCAGACGAGTATGTTTATATAATTTTCCTTGGATTATGCTAAATGTACATAATCATTTACACAATTCTTTACACCCCTCTCACATGGAGAGGGGCCCACACACAATAAAATATTCGTGGGCCCCCCTCCATGTGAGAGTGGTGTAAAGGATTGTGTAAACCATGGAGTGTACATGTAGCACAATCCATTTTCCTTTGTTGCTTGACAGGTCGTGGAGATGATACATTCATCATTTTTTTAAAAGAAGTATGTAGCGTAGATATTTGATGGTGCTAGTCTTAGGTAGGTTGCATAGATCGAATGAAAAATAGAATGTATTGCAGAGAAACTAGTGGGTGCCAGGTTGACTTTTATTTCCTGTTTCAAGTTCACTTAGTATTGATATTGTTTTTTAGTTGGAGGCAATGAGGGTGCATACTTTGAGGAGACGAAACAGTTGGAATGTGGAAAGGAGCTGTTTTCAGCTTGTGTTATAATGTATGGGAGGGAAATGAGATATGGGCAATGAATATAAGGAGCTTTTGCTCTGGCAGCAACTACTTAATACTGTTTCAATCATGGAGAGAAGGTCTCTTAGCCCCTGTTTGGTTTTGAAAAAAAAAAAAGAAAAGAAAAGATCTTTAGTAGATTTTGATAGAAGTTGATAAAATGTGCGGTTAAAAAATTGATAAAAGTAGTGGGTCCTATGAAATGTGTGGTTGAAAATGAATTTGAGAATAAATAAGTTTTAAGAAATGGAAGCCAAACAGGGGCTTAGGTTGGTCAAATAGGAGGAGCTGTGAAGAAGGTGACGGATCTACTTTTCTCATAGTTGTTTCAACAAGACTCGGATATAGGAAACCCAGTTGGATAAATTTGGATGTGTTGTCTCTTGTTTATGCTGTTCTTTGTGGTAAGGTCTTTACAGTTTGCTATGGCGTCATTTACCATTTGAGTGCAATACATCTCTTATTTTCTTTTGAAATCATAAGATGTTTTTGTTTATGGTCTGTATAATCTCTCTTGTATAGTATTGCTATAAATTTAAATGGTTATTTTATGAAATATGGTTCAACACAGTAACTTGTGGAGGACTACATCTGAGGAAAAGAGGGAATTGGAGCGACTGGAAAAACCAATCTATAATTCTGTTCGCCAAGCAGCAGAGGTCCACCGTCAGGTTGCCATTTAGCTTTACGTCCTTGAGTATGCTTCTTTGAGAAGTTCATTCTGGACTGTCATTGTAATGTTCTAATTTATGCACATCCTTGTCAGGTTCGGAAGTACATTAAGCAAATTTTGAAGCCCGGAATGTTGATGACTGACCTGTGTGAGACCTTGGAGAACACAGTTCGTAAATTAATATCTGAGAACGGTCTACAGGCTGGTATTGCATTTCCTACAGGATGCTCGTTGAACTGGTATTGCTTAATTGCAAATGTGGCCCACTCATTTCATTTTGGCGATTTTGAATATAACTAGTTTAGAAACCAATATACACCATTTTGATATTTGAGGTTTGAGTCTCTTTTCGATTCCATTGTTTCACTCCCTTCATAATTCTAATCTGATCTGTCTGCTTCCTGCCTGTTCTTTGTTGCAGGGTTGCTGCCCATTGGACCCCGAATTCTGGGGATAAAACTGTTCTTCAGTATGATGATGTGATGAAACTGGACTTTGGAACTCACATTGATGGTAATATAGCTACTTATTTACTGTACTGCAATCTCAAGGTTTCTGGAAGCCTCTTATGAGACCGTGTTTTTATTTTCCTGTTTCTATTGACGTATTATCTCAAATATTCGAATATTTGCAACACTTCATTTGCAGGGCATATAGTGGATTGTGCATTTACTGTGGCATTCAACCCCATGTTTAATCCACTGCTCGAGGCCTCGCGTGAAGCTACCAATACGGGAATTAAGGTGGGTTACTAAATTTATCTGCATAAGAATGACTTTTTAAGAACCGAAATTCAGACTGAAGTGTGAAATTATCTGGCTGAGACTTCTAGTGGACAAGTGGGAGCAGTTGATGACAATTTGTTTTTGAAACAGGAAGCTGGGATTGATGTTCGCCTAGGTGACGTAGGTTCTGCAATTCAAGAGGTCATGGAGTCATATGAGGTTGAAATCAATGGAAAGGTGTTCCAAGGTATAGCCCTTGGATAAAATTAAATAGCTTTTATGAGATGCATTTCTGGTTGTTATGATGTTTTGCACATGATGCCCGTGCATGGGTGCCTTTTTCTTTGAGGGGGGATGTGATCGTTGAATGGCGTTGTAGTTATTCAAGTTGATTTTACTAAATGTGTCTCCACAATTTCTCATGGCAAATAAAAGCCACAGGAAATACAATGATGAATAAGTTGCGAGTTGCAACTTTTTATCGCTATTCTAATTGCAATTTGGTGTTTAATGCTTTTCAAAATAATTAGCTGTTTTTGTTAGAGCAGGCACTTTCACATTCTAAATAACTACTCTTCTATGGATAATGCACAACTAATCGGTCAAGTGGTGTCGTTATCCAAAAATATCTCTCTCCCTCCCTCTGTGCTATTCTATTGTCGCTGTTATCAACTATGAAATTGAAATTTCCTGCTCACTAAAATGTCTTGATATTTTGGATTTCAGGACGATCTTTCTTAAGTTTTGTTGTGGCAGATGGTGGTCATTTGTTGATATTGTCAGACTTTGACCTGAGTTTAAGTTCTATGATTAAATATTCGGAGATCAATAAATGTTTTATCGTTCCAAAACTGAAGGCATTCGTGGTCATTAGAATTTCAAAGCTAGTAAGAAACAAATTGATAACCATATTTAGGAAATGTTAATTGCTGACTGAAAATAAAAAATGTGATGCTTCCCTTCTTATGCTATCTTTTATGGTCTTGATAACATAGTAATGTTCAGTTATAGGATTTAGAAATGTTTTTAACTTTTTAATGCCTTCATGTGATCAACTTACAAGCTCAACTAATTATCTGTTCTGGCAGTTAAAAGTATCCGAAATCTAAATGGGCATAGCATTGGACATTATCAAATCCATGCTGGGAAATCTGTTCCAATTGTGAAAAGAGGAGAGCAAACAAAAATGGAAGAAGGTGAATTTTATGCAATTGAGACCTTCGGATCCACAGGTAACCTCTTCTTTCCATAGAGGGTGGGACATATTCTGTCGAATCTGATAGATATGGTTAGGCCGGATGCACTAAGTGCAATTGTTTTGCTTGACTTTTGTTGCATGCAGGGAAGGGAGAAGTTAGAGAAGATCTTGAATGCAGCCATTACATGAAGAATTTTGATGCTGGTCACATTTCACTGCGGTTACCTAGAGCAAAACAGCTATTGACAACAATTAATAAGAATTTCTCTACATTGGCTTTCTGCAGACGTTATCTAGACCGCATTGGAGAAACTAAATATCTGATGGCACTGAAGAACTTGTGTGATGCTGGTATCGTTAAGGTATGTGTTCCCCTGTTTTAGTCTGCAAGGATTTAAGTCAATAATCTGGACATTGATATTTCTTTTTACCACACACTGCCACATGCACATTAACAGTCGATGCGTGATTGCTTTTAAATGGCTTCAATCATAAGTACTTCATATATATATATATTAATATGAAAATCTTGACGGACTTGAGACTGGAAAGTTAAACCGGCCTGAAGAAGGGAACAATTAAATTTTTTTTTTTTACTTATGCTTGAACCTATGTTCTTGATTTGCATAAATCCAGTTATCATGAACTTTTTCAACTTGTAGTATCTTGAACCAGACAATAGAAAGCTTAGATCGAGTAGAGGCTTGATGACTAGGAATATGCAATCACTTTTCCCAAAAACTATAGCTGGCTGATAAGCGATGCGCAATCAAACCCTTTTTATCACCTAGGATCAAGCTCGGGAATCCACCCAATCACTATTTCTTTGGGCCTTGCATCGAAGATTCTCTTACGAAATTGGTCAACTCTCATTTTCAAGTGATGTTCTGCATCATTCTTCTTGTAGAGAATCGAACACAAGACCTCCATCTTTGATACCAATTTGACGTAGGGAGATGCAATCAGTTTCCCCAAAAATCATATAGCTGATAGGAGAGGCGCAATTAAACCTTATATCACCAAAAAATAATGCTAAAAAATCTACCCCAAGAGCTATTCATTGGGGCCTTATGTCGAAGATTGCTTTATGAAATAGGTCCATAATCATGTTTAGTGATGCTCCACATCACTTGATGAAAATTCTTGGAACTTGTGTGCTACTACTATGTGCTACACATTTAAATTTGCTGAAGCCGTTAAGGGTATAATATTCAATAGATGAACTGTTAGAATGCGTGAACTTATATGTTGTACCGACTATTACGTACAGGTCTTCGAACTAAATAAATGTTGACGGCGTTTTGTTTGATATCTGGCAGGCGTATCCTCCTCTGTGTGACATTAAGGGCAGCTATGTATCGCAGTTTGAGCATACAATTCTACTTCGTCCGACTTGCAAAGAAGTGGTATCCAGGGGTGATGATTATTGATGGAAGGTTTCAAAGTCTTGGATTTGATATTTACAAAATGATTGTATGTCGGAGATTTCTACGTTTAAGTCCTTTTGTGATTAAGTCAATATACTCGTACTCGAGCTGGTTTTGTGGTAGCAACGTAAGGAGGCTGGAGTCCTTCATAATTTTTTGTTTGAAAATACCTGACCCATATTTAAGATAATGGGATATTTTACAGGACAAAGTTGGCCAGCTGCTTGTAACTACCAAGTGAGTTATGATGCTGAACAACATTCAAATTTAGTAATGCTATTTAGCTCCATTAGAGTTACAACCCCAGTCTAGATGGCGTTAATGTGACATTAAATGATACGTGAAATTAAATAAATTATTTAATTTCATATTTCACTTAGCCTATCATTTAGAGCCACATAGGCTGGGGTTACAATCCCGATGGGGATGAATAACATTATTCATTCAAATTAGCGAGTAGGAAATGTAGCTTGTTTTGCTATCTACGAAAGTTAGCCCCGTGGAACCTTTTCAATTTTGCAAAATCAACTGGAAATCTCTAAGCGATGGATGAGCCATTGTAATTTCCAAGAAATAAAATCTTAAAGATTGTTGGTATAGTGATTCCTTTACAATGGCGTGAAACAATTGCGGTAAATTTCAGGGCACGGGATAGCGTCATTCTTAAGACTTCATTTGTCCCTTAAAAATGAATGCACCGAGGGTCCAAACAAACCTCCAAGATACAATGGAATCGAAGTAGATCTTTATTGACGTCTATGCGCTAAGGACAACAAACCGAACACCAAAAATGGATAAGAATATTTATTCTAGCTTTGACCTTTTAATTGAAATGGGGCATATAGCCAACCGTGATTAATTGTAGGTATATCACCAAACACATGCACGAATGGTCCCTACCATCCATTATTTCACATTCTCAACAAAGGCAGCTAACATGGTTCTAAAAGATTGATGTGAATATTTATTATGAAAAACATGTATGGATTGGTTGGAATGTATATTAATTTCTCAAAGACTAGACTTATATGCTACATTTCACCAACCAACACATTTCCCACTTCACACTGCATTATCCTGTTTGACAAAGGTACAAAACTTTTTGAAGTTTTGAGTGAATTGCGTAAAATATATCGTTAAAAAGTAAATAAAATATATGAATCGAAAATATAGGCTTGGACGTTGGGTGGGTCAGTTCGGGTATTTCAATATCCAGAACCACCCATTATGCTTCGGGTATTTTGTAAATGAAACCATTCAGATCATTGTAATTATTGGAACTAGAATCAATCCCAAATCGACAGTTTCAACATAGTTTGATTCTATCCATAACATTTTTTGTATACATTTAATAAACTTTTTTCATGTAGGCTCTTTCAATACTATACCTAACACGCTACTAATAATGAATATTTGTGCAATGGAAAAAAATCAGCTAAGAAATCTTTAAGAAGCTAAATAGTGGAGACTAAAAATCACGAAAAGAAGTGAAAATTAAAACATCAAGAATTAAATTATAATTTGAGAAGAAATATTTTTCCCTAATAAATCTTATTCATTCTATAAGTTAGGCATGCTAGAGCCTATAATTTAATTATGAATAATGCTTAAATTCTTCTACTTTTAAAATGAACTGATATAAAAAAAAAGGTAATTAGGTACACAACTATATATTATCAAGAAATCGTAGTCAAAATATTGAACTCGCTTTGTTTGAATAAAATAATAATAATAATATTTTAGAGAACTACGAACTCAAGATAACTAATAACTTGTTTGAAAAACTCATTTTTTAACACTCATTTTCAACCACACATTCTCCCATAGAACAATTTTATACATAAGTTCAATTTTTTTCATTATTTTTTAACCACATATTCTACAGCTTTTTACTATTCCAAAACATTTTTTCTTGGAAAAAAACCAAAAAAGATACATCACAACCCAAGCTATGAATATATCAAGTTCCAATGTCATGCATTATGAAAAAAATCACTTAAGTCAGTAAAAAGTTCGAATTACAAAGAATGAACGCTTTGATTCGTCAACTTACACTACAACCTAGATTGAACTTTTTGATTCAAAAAATTCCAAAGTACAAAAATTAAATGTATTAGCTCTAAAATTCAACATTCTGATGTGAGGTGAGATGCTAAAATGTAGGAGTTAGTATAGATTTCTTAGAGTTAGAGTTTAGAGTTTTATCCTAATTATTACTAAAATTAGAATTTTTAGGTTTTGTATTTTACTTATCCAACCTATAATTATAAATAAAAATTTATATTAAAAAATTGGTTCCATTTGGGTATCCACGATTCTTGTTCAAAAACCAAGAATCGAACCGGATCCATACAATTATTGATACCGATTCCCTTTTTTTTTTGGAATCAGATTGGAACATTTGATTCCAGTTCACGTGGTTCGATTCCGCAAATGCCCAGAACTACCGAAATATGTGGTGAAAAATAATGATGAACTTATAGTTTCTTTAATAAAAAATAAAAAAAGAAACTTTATTAAAAGGGACTTCACAGTTTCAGAACTTTTAAAACAATCACGGGCGTAGGAAGCAGCCCTATGCGGCCAAAGCTCAATAAGATTTTTTACGCGTAAATTATATATATCTATAATCTATAATATATTAAATATCGCATCGAGAATCTATCCAAGGCGTTGTCTGGGAGGGCTTAATAGCGTTTTTCCTACCGTTGCTTTCCCACTTGCAGCCGCCGTTGTTGACTAGCTAACTCACAGGTGGGTCCCAAATGAGCTCCAAACGGTCAAAAAATGGCCTATCTAACTACCGAAATATTTTGTCGAACTTTTCGATTAACTTGCTCATCTACAAATACAAGGGGGGCAAATAAGTCATTTTACTTTTTCCTGACGTATTTCTTGGCCGTCATAAGGGACAAATATGTACTAGTCAATAAAATATTGTAAATAAAAGAGTCGAGAATACAAATACGAAAATAAGTAAAAATAAAAGATATTCATCGTAATTAAAACGTAGTGTAATTAACAAAAAAAAAAAAAAATGGTCTATCCACATCATAATTGGCCTAGTGCAATAATTTTTTAGTCCACCCGAACTCCGTCCCTACTTTCAAGCATGGTTCAGCTCATTTATAAATCTCAAGGGCAGGGCCGGTAGGGCCCCCATCAATTTCGTCGCTACACCGCACACGGAAAAATTCCAAACGTAGAAGTTGATTGATTCGGAGTTTAGTCATCCACTTGACCTTTAAGTTATTATATAAGTCAATATCAATAAGTAACTCATGATTTGGAAATTAATTAGTCATCCCGTGTGGGCATACCCAGAAGCTCCTTCTCGTTGCTCTTTGTGTAGAATTGGGAGAAAGAGTCAATCTATAATAAATATATTACTACCTTGTACGCGCCTGCCACCAACCAATCCATTCCACAACGTTGAATTCTTTGATGAATTGGTGGAACCTTCTTAATCAACACTTTCATTTCAATCGATCTAATTCACGAAGAAATTTAACCAAGTCTTCGTCGAACAACGACGGTGTATTCAATTGGTGTATTTGATGGATATTATTGAGAAAATAATGTAGTTTAAATAGTGATATGATGAGAAATATTATTTTATAAAAGAATGCGTGGTTGAAAATGAGTTTCGAAAGAATGTGTACCAAACTGAAACTTTTAATAACTTTATGGGATTTTAAAAATTTAGAGATCTTCAATTTAGATTTTTGAAAACCATCTAAAAGTACTGATATATTCAATTGAGATTTTTATAGAGTCGCGGTGTATTTAATTAAAACTTTTTATAAATCTCTATGAGTTTTGGGGTATTCAAATGTAATGACTTTTAGAGACTTATAAAAGTTTTCATGGTATTAATTTATATTATTTTTATTTTTTTAAATTTAGAGGTCTTAAATTATTATTATTTTTAAAATATTTTTTATTATATTGGAAGGGGAAGGAAAAAGACAATTGTGTTGTGATAATTTCAAACTAGTGCATTAGATTTGCGTGAATTCTATTTCAAACCAAAGTTTTCTAAAGCCTTAATCATCAATATTTCAAGTGCTTTCAAGCTCCTTTTTCCTCCAATGAACAGAAATTTTTTTCTCTATTAAACTGAAGAGAAAGTAGAGAAAAAAGATGGCCGGAGGAGGTGGCGGTGAAGGAGCATCTATAGAGTATACGCCGACTTGGGTGGTCGCACTTGTTTGTACTGTAATTGTGGCCATCTCTTTACTTGCTGAAAGACTCCTTCATTATGCCGGAAAGGTCAATAAATTCTTCATTACTTATTCTTCGTTATGCTATCCTGCCGCAGGTAACTGTTTCTTTTATCTGAAAATATGATGACGATCTTTGCAGTTCTTGATCAAGAAAAATCAGGGTGCTCTTTTCGAAGCCTTACAAAAAATAAAGGAAGGTCAGTCGATACACTATTAATATATTTAATTAAAAAGAATTTTGACAAACTGATAAACATGTCTTGATTTATGATCAATGGTGCAGAGTTGATGCTGTTGGGATTCATATCTCTGCTTCTGACTGTGTTTCAAAGCAGAATTACTAAAATATGCATCGCCAAGCACTTGACCGACGACTGGCTTCCTTGCAGCAAATCTGATAAATCCAAAGGCGACGACAAATCCATAGATCATTTCCAAAGCAGCTTCTTCATCTTTGGGCGCCGCCTTCTTGCTGCTGCAGAAGCACCGGCTGGCCAGGGTTACTGTGAGAAACAGGTACTATAGTCTCTGTACTCGAAATTATTCAATCTGGAGACTTGCTGAAATTTTCTTGTTCATTTCTTTATTCTCTAAGGATAAAGCACCACTGTTATCTCTTGATGCAATACATGATCTACATATATTTATCTTCGTGCTGGCTGTCGTGCACGTACTTTTCTCTGCTCTAACGATTCTGTTCGGAACCTTGAAGGTACCAACCTACCTAATTAACTACCCTGCATTTTGAGAATATAATTAATGTTTGTACCTATTTTTCCATTGCACCAATGATTTTGCTTGTCATCAGATACGCCAATGGAAACAATGGGAAGATTCTATTCAGAAAAAGCAACAAGATCCAAAAGAAGGTAATTCATATTATTCAAATTTATTATCGAAGTTTTAAGTTGGGATTAAAACATCGGATTTCTTCTTTTTGTCGTGCCTACAGCGCAGCAAAGGACAGTAACCCATGTACAAGAACATGGTTTCATCAAGCGCAGGTTTAAGGGAATTGGTAAAGATTTAGCTTTGTTAAGTTGGGTGGTAAGTCCAAAACTGAAATATAGCTGCAATAAGTGAAAGTCAATTAAGTACTCGACAATGCAAATTAATTTGCTTTGCTCATGACAGATTAGACTGACCCATCTCTTTGAATTTCAGCGTTCCTTTTTCAAACAAATTTATGGGTCTGTTAATAAGTTAGACTATGAAACTCTACGACGTGGATTTATTGTGGTAAACTACCTTACCTATGATGATATATTTACTGTCTCAAGCATGTTACATATGGAACTTATTTTTTTTCCATTTTTTTTTCTGAATTTCCATTTGTCAGACTCATTATAGGGACAATCCCAACTTCAATTTTTACAAGTACATGATGCGTGCTCTCGAAACTGATTTTAAGAGAGTTGTTGGAATACGGTCAGTTTACAATAATTTCATTGCTAATTACACTTTCGAAGAGCTTATGGAATTAAATTATTAAATACTTAAAAGAGATTACTGACTTGAGAAATATTTGTGATTTGCAGTTGGTATCTATGGATATTCGTGGTTCTTTTCTTGTTGCTGAATGTCAAGGGTGAGGATCAGACGTCTTTTCAAGTGTATTAGGACCCATTTGGTCAAAAGTTGTTTCTAAAACTGACTGCTTTTGGACATGGAAGTATTTTATCTTATTAGAAGAACTTTTAGAGGAAGTTAGCTTCGTCAAGAAGCTCTTCTACAGAAAGCAAAGAAATCCCAAGCAAACTGTGTTTTCTTACCCTATTGAGTAATGAGAACGTCCCACCTATAGGTTCCTTTCATTAGTTCCTTGCCTGTGTTTTGGCAAGAATGCTTTTAGTTTGTCACATTCTATCTTATGTTTGTGCAGGTTGGCATGCATATTTTTGGATAGCATTCATTCCCTTGATTGTAAGGAACCCTACAAACTTAATCTGTCATGTTACATCAAAATTCCATGTACGGAAATGGAAAGGAATAATTACTTAATTTATTTTGCAGCTTTTGCTTATTGTGGGCGCCAAACTTGAGCATATTATTGCCCAATTGGCAGAAGAGGTTGGGCAGAGACATACAGCTATTACAGGGGACTTAGTAGTTAGGCCTTCTGATGATCATTTCTGGTTCCACAAACCACGCCTTGTCCTTGTTTTGATTCATATAATTCTGTTCCAGAATTCATTTGAGATTGCAGTGTTCTTCTGGATGTTGGTAAACAAAATCATCTGATTTACGTCAATAACTAATTTTCTGTCTTTATTTTATTGAAGAAATACCAATGCACTGATGAAAATGGCAGTTTATATTTAAATTTGATTCGTGCATCATGGGAGAAGTTGGTTACGTTATCCCCAGACTCGTTATAGGGTACGCTTATCTCCACTGCAAATGAGCTGTGTTACACATATTCACACACGCACGTGCAGTCGCACACAATAGTATGTGACTGAAAAACTAATTATGTGCATTACATCGTCCTTGTGTAGGGTACTTGTGCAGCTCCTTTGCAGTTATAGTACCTTGCCATTATATGCAATTGTTGCACAGGTAAGTTCACTTTCTGTTTCCACTAAGAATCCTCAGCCTGTTTGAGCCACATTAAAATTTTCATTCTAATTCTTTTACTCATTTTCAACCACACATTCTTCAATAAAATAATATTTTCCATTACATCAATAACATTTCCTTCTTTTTCAACCACACAGTTTCCATATGTTTACTATTTCAAAATACATTCTTCCAAAATAATGTGACTCAAATACACCCATAAATTTCCTATATTTACTTTTCTGGTTTTCCCATGGTAGATGGGAAGTTCATTCAACAAGGCTATATTCGAGGATCATATACAAGTGAAGCTTACTGGATGGGCTGAAAAAGCAAAGAAGAACACGGCTCAGAGGAAAGCCGTCAATGGCTCAAGCCAAGTTGGACATAAAGAATCTCTTTCGAATGTCCAGCCACCAGCAGTCGGTGACGAGTCAAGAATGGAAGAAGGCCGAGCCCTAGAAATCGAATCCGCTGCTACCTCAAATGAACCTAAATGATCCTGTAATCAACTTATAGATAAAACTTTTATATACTATATCAATCATCTTTTGCTATGAGTTCCAAACGAGGTGTTCATTGTGATACCAAGTGGTGATGATACTCGGTTTATTGCACGCAGTTGAAATTATATTGAAATGATGTAACATCAAGCTGCTACTGGATAAGTTACCAGAAGTGAGCAATCTTTGGCGTAAACAACAAATTCTCAAGGAGTGGGAAAAGTATAATTTACTGGATCAGTAGTATCCGCCAACGTATATTTAATGCATACACATCAGCTAAGAACATTTGATGACAACTTACAAACCAATGAAAGGGTAACGTGAGCGTAATATAATATCTGCTGTCAAAATCTGAAAACAAGTGGCAGATATCACAATGGTTTAAAATCAGTATTTCCAGCTTATAATTTCGAAAAAACTTTGTCAAACGGGGGCTTAATAATGTTACATTCTAAGATGAAACTTCAGCAGAATATACTAACAAAGTGCATTAATGGTTTGATCATATGATCTCTCTCCTCTACCAAATCTTCCCATATTGATAAGGTCAACAATAACGCTTGTCTAAAGCTTAAACGAGCTATCAGAATTCAAGATCGGTGTTCCCAAATGATCCACCATCTCGGCAAGAAGCTAAATATGAATATAATAGGCATCAAATGAGGATATGTGCTACTTTTTTTTAATAATGTTGACATTTTAAGATGAACCCAAGGATTGATACGCAGTCAAGTAAATCAGTTTTGAATATATCCTCATCAAGATTATATAATATCTGTTTGATCACAATATCTTTGGGTGTCACAACGCAGACAGTCGAAAATTTTCATGTGTTTTGCCATTTATTTTTCTATGTTCAGGTTCTATTTGGCCAGTGCAGAAGTAGAATTTTGTTTTAGTATAATATATATTCTTGTGTATATTCAAAGGAAGCATGAAAACCAGGAGAAGCAGTCTGATCAGAAGAGATTCAGAATTAATGGCTTGAGGAGGTGGCTGTTGCACTCGTCTGCTTCGTCATTCGGTGAAAGATTACTGCATTTTGCTGGCAAAGTGAAAATTTAAGTTTTTAGAAGAGATGATAGATTTGTTTCGATACAATATACTTTGTGTCTTTTAGTCATTAAGTCCTGATATATTTTGAATTTTGATTGCAGTACTTGCTCGTCTCTTTACCAGGCCTTGCCAAAAAAGAAAGGTCTGACTTAACTGAGTTTCACTTAATTCGACAAGAAAATAAATCTCCTTCTTGTTGATGCAAAATTGAAGCTGTTGGGATTTGTATCTCTACTCCTGAATGTGTTTCAATGCAGAAATACTAAAATTTTCATCTCCAAACACTTTATGAATCATTGGCTTCCCAGTAAGAAGCCAACTGAGGTGGGCTCAAAAGCCGCTAGACACTTTCAAGCATTCTCATCGATTACTATGATTTTCGTCCCTATTGACTGATTTTGGAAATTATATCAATGTTGTTGTGATATTCGTTTACTATGATTTTCGTCCCTATTGCCTGATTTTGGAAATTATATCAATGTTGTTGTGATTGAAAATGATCGATCAGGGGAAGGTGCCGTTACTATCTCTTGACGCAGTGCGCGATCTTCATATCTTCATATTCGTGCTAGCTGTTTCTCATATAACTTTCTCTGCTTCGACAATTCTCTTTATGGGATTAAAGGTACCTACTAGTTTATGATTACTTGATAACTAATTATTCTACAGGCATCTCTTTTCTACTTGAATGTTTTTAAGTAAATTTTATTTGATTTTTCGGCGCCACTAATATTTTAGATATACTGTGTTGCACGGACACTACAATTAAAGTATCGTGTCGTTGTCCAACACGTGTCGGAGTCGTGTCGGATACTAACACATTACCATGGTCATTATTCTTTCTTTATTATAAATATTATATATTTATAACTCAAAAGTTATTATTAAATAACAAATGTGTATTCATATTTGAAAGATTTCAACAATAAAAAATATAAAATTAAAATTATACTATATAAATGAAGAATTTTGAAGATTTTAATTCATGTTCGACAACATATTATGTCAATACTCTTTGAAAAATTGCGTGTCTCGACAAATGTCGTGTCGAACATACGTATCCATGTCAGTGCATCATAGTAGATATATATCTAATATGTTATTTGAAAAAAAAAAAAATTAAATCAGAAAGGATGCCTAAAAAGGGTGGAATTTATGTGAGAGGTCGACGGTTTGAACGACATTTCATGCGAATATTAAGAAGTTTCTCAAAAACATTCCGGGGACCTTATGGCAGGTGAATTAAGCCAAATGTAACCCCTACACCCTCTCACATGAGGTGGGTCCCACGTGAGACCCACCTCAATAAAAAAGAAAAAAATAAAAAAAATTACCCAACCTCCCCTATGTGTGTTATCGGTGGGGGTATGATTCCCTTTGCAATTACAGTAATCTACCACTGTACGCAATTTTCGCGCAGCCAAAATATTTCCTAAAATTTCACGAGTTTGAGTTTGATAATACAAGATTTGCTCTCACTTGCTCTGGTGGTACTAATGAAGGTGGGAATTTCATTCAACAAAGCAATATCCGATCATAATATACAAACATGTTTGATTCGTTTACTATGATTTTCGTCCCTGTTGCCTGATTTTGGAAATTATATCAATGTTGTTGTGATTGAAAATGATCGATCAGGGGAAGGTGCCGTTACTATCTCTTGACGCAGTGCGCGATTTTCATATCTTCATATTTGTGCTAGCTGTTTCTCATATAACTTTCTCTGCTTTAACAATTCTCTTTATGGGATTAAAGGTACCTACTAGTTTATGATTACTTGATAACTAATTATTCTACAGGCATCTCTTTTCTACTTGAATGTTTTTAAGTAAATTTCATTTGATTTTTCGGCGCCACTGATATGCTAGATATACTGTGTTGCACGGACCCTACAATTAAAGTATCGTGTCGGAGTCGTGTCGGATACTAACACACTACCATGGTCATTATTCTTTCTTTATTATAAATATTATATATTTTTAACTCAAAGTTATTATTAAATAACAAATGTGTATTCATATTTGAAAGATTTTAACAATAAAAAATATAAAATTAAAATTATACTATATAAATGAAGAAGTTTGAAGATTTTAATTTATGTTCGACAACATATTGTGTCAATACTCTTTGAAAAATCGCATGTCTCGACAAGTGTCGTGTCGAACATACGTATCCATGTCAGTGCATCATAGTAGATATATATCAAATATGTTATTTGAAAAAAAAAAAAATTAAATCAGAAAAGATGCCTAAAAAGTGTGGAATTTATGTGAGAGGTCGACGGTTTCAATGACATTTCATGCGAATATTAAGAAGTTTCTCAAAAACATTCCGGGGACCTTATGGTAGGTGAATTAAGCCAAATGTAACCCCTACACCCTCTCACATGAGGTGGGTCCCACGTGAGACCCACCTCAATAAAAAAGCAAAAAATAAAAAAAAATTACCCAACCTCCCCTATGTGTGTTATCGGTGGGGGTATGATTTCCTTTGCAATTACAGTAATCTACCACTGTACGCAATTTTCGCGCAGGCAAAATATTTCCTAAAATTTCACGAGTTTGAGTTTGATAATACAAGATTTGCTCTCACTTGCTCTGGTGGTACTAATGAAGGTGGGAATTTCATTCAACAAAGCAATATCCGATCATAATATACAAACATGTTTGGTAGGATGGGCTCTGTAAGAATATTATAAATTGTATATAATAAACTTATGTCTCTATTACAAAGTAGAAGACCTTATTTATACAATTACAAGTAACTCTAAAAGGAAATATTTTATGATACTATTAAGAAAAATAATTCCACACAACTGAAAAAATATCATGGAGAATAATCTCGATAATCATTCTATATCTTCAACAGGCTCAAAGGCCAAGAAGAACAAGGGACCGAGTGAAAGTTTATGGGGCCGCTGGCAGCTCTAACTAACTGGTGCATCAAGATTCTCCTGTGAGATCAGTTGAGATGGCAGAAATGGAAGATGTAGAATCTGCAATGGATCAACTTGAGAGTTGGTTCATTCTTGAATGTTTGTGTTGTATCAAGCAATAAGTTCCAATTTCTTGTATATTGATCTTTATTCATGTTGACGGTTTTTACTTACAAGGCCATCAAGAAGAGTTAGGGATACCGATGTGTAAGTGTTATTTATTTGATGATAGGTACCGTTAGTTGCTCCAACTCCACATTAATCAATGACTGGGTTTGCATTTTCTAAGAGTAATACTATGGAGAAACACTGATTCTCAACATCGATTTATGTGACAATGAGGTCCACAAATACATTGTTTAACAATTTGAGATATATTTTCATTTGGATAATCAACCAATTGATCTCATTATCTCGACTGGTTGTTGCGAAAATCCCTCAAGAAATCTTTGATACGGTCACAGAAATCAACCAAACGAACACCACAAGAACCAAGGCCCGACTCACAACATTCAATACTTTGGTTGCCACTATGGTTTCCACTCAAGTATGGAGATGAAAATGGTGGTTTGATTGTAGCCACTAAGATGGAGAAAAACAATAAACTCCTAGGCCAAGAAGAAGATGACTGCCTCTATATTGTTTTCTTTCCACTTTCACAAACACACCAAATTTCAAACTCAAGCCAAACATGGCTAATGCAAATGCATATAACCCCCAAATTAGGTCACTCCAATTATGTGCCTTGTTACTCTCTAAATGGGACCAGTTCAAATGGGCCAATAAATCCAAAGCCACCGATCAATAACCCAACTCAATAAGCACTACTTGGGCGAACTCATGGGCATCCTAAAGTGTTCGAAGTTGTTTCCGGATCGAGTCATCACTTTGGTATCGATAAAATTCTCGACATCATTTTATCATCGTCGTCCGGATTTATTGGATATCAAAACCCAACAATGATACTAAGTACTAGTAGCTACTTAATATTATACCTTAGGGA